ATCTGTAGCCGATCGCCACTGACGTAATATTGCATCATTTTATATTTATAAGAAGATAGATGGCTTTGTGATTCATAATTATGATTAAACAGCTACGTAATAATTGATTTCAAGGCTAAATGATCATTCGAACGGGGTCAAGTTTTCATAAAATCAAAGTAGTTTTTCAAAAGTTTCAAATGTTCCATTCAAATCATTTGAATAATCTCCGAGTCTCAATAATTTTTCTAACCTACTAACCTTAAAATGGCTGCCGTAAGAGAGGACTCGAACTCGAGGACGTTGGCCAGGGTAAACAGAAACGTAAGAGACGGTCGAGGAGGACTGGAAACGTTGGGTACTTCTTTTAACACGCGTCAACCGGTCGCAAGAAATTAATTAATTGGTCCACGCGCGTCGACATCTGGGAGATTAATATTCGACTTAATGAATTTCCGACGCCCACGGTCCGTGGCGACCCACGTCCACGGGCGATCCGCGAATAGATCGATCGACGATCGAGTAGCCCGGTGGTCGGATCGTGACTTTGCTCGACGATCTTCGATAATTTATCGAGTGCGTGGACGTTGGCTGGTTTTCAGCGAACGCGTCGATGTTTTGCCAGTGAAAGGGGAAATTCGTCGAGTCGCGCAGCGGTTTTCTGCGAGGAACACCCACGCGAATTCCTAGATCCGCGGTTACGGTGCATCTCCGCGTGCTTCGAGTTCACGCCAGAATCGCACTTTCCGTTAGATAAACGTATTTTAATTAGAACTGTACTTTTGACTGGAAAGTGGGCAATTAAAACGGGTAATTTATTTTCTCCTTTATTTACGGTCGATCGAATCCTTTCTATTTCCAATGGCGGCTTCGATCGGAAAACGACGGAATAATAGAAATTTGATGTAATCGTGATTCCGGCGCTGACTCATATCGATTAAAGACGGCTCGACAAAGGGAACGGTCTGACCGCGTACGAAGCTGGACAAAGGAGGGTTCTCGACGAGGAAACCACCGCGACAGACGAACGAATTAGAATATATATACGAGGTGTAACGAAAAAAAAAAGGCGAGCATGAAAGTCGCGGGCGTGGGAACGCCGGGGTCCGAGCGAGCCACCAATTAACACCAATTAACGCTCATCTGCTCTAGGTAGTGGCAACGACGAGAACCGACTTTACATTTAGCACGAGACGTCTGACTCGCCGCGGATTGGTCACAACACGCTCTTTGTGCCGTCCAGATCGGACTGGGAAATTTTGCGCTTCCGCGAAGGGTCGGGAAAAATGAAATCGGATCACCAACACCACAGAAACTCCTGTTTTGCTCCTATTGCCTCGTAGAATATCTTAACGCCTCGTAAACGTTACTTAAACCTCTATAAATTTTATCTGATAGATATAAAAATAGCTAATAATATTTCGAAGATATCGATAAGCATCGATAGTGGAGTGTAACTTTTGTAAATCAAATGCCTCAATTTTGAAGACGCAAATTATTCGTTCTGGAGCATTTTCGAAAATTAAGGCACCATTTCTTCTCAGTTCTAATAGTAATCGTTACAGTTTTTTAATTAATTGAATAATTGTAGACAGTGTCGAGCATCGGTACAATTACCTTACAATCGTACTCTTCCAAAACGGTCGCAGCAACAAAAACGCCCGGTAACGGTAACGCAGGCTTCCTATCTCGGAAGTGTCGCGCCAATTTAGGAAGCCATTTGTCCGTAAGAAACGCTCGTCGTCCGCGGCGACATTAGCCGCCTTACCTAAGCATTTGGGTTGCTCGAGAGAAGAAACATTTTCGCTAATTCGAGATCGGCAGTTCAGTCACGAACGGGCAGTTAGCCGACCGTACACGACGCCAAAAGCGGGAAACGAATCGATCAACTGGAAATAACCCGTTCCCACATACCGGGGATGGTCAAAACTCGTGAACGAGTACAAATATCGAACAGTGAACAAAGAAACGAACCGCTTCTCGATCCGTTGGTCGTAAAAAATTTGCATTCAACTTATATTCGAATTGGGCGTCGATAAGTTGACTTAACTCACTGTACGAAAGATGGACCTTCCAACCTCAGATGTTCATTTTACGAATCATTACTGTACACGGAAAACGAAGCTGCGTAGAAGGAAAATTAATTCCACATTGTCGACTTATTTTGCCACGAGGAATCGCCCTCTAGAGGCATTCGTTTATTTCGAATGGTTCTTTGTCCTCCAAACGTATTTTTCACTTTCCCCGGCGCGAAACACCTGCGGTTCTAATTAAAAAATCGACATGGCCCGCCCCCCGTCTCGTCGAAAGTCCCCCTCTCATTGTCTACCAGCGAGGATCTCGAAGTTCATTAAACCGGCGCACACACGAGCGCGGGCATGCACCGCGGACACCGATGCGCCGATCGTTTTTTTCGCCCAACGGACCGGTTCCATCAGGAACACTTCCAGCTTTCTGTCGTCGGCCTGGACTCCTGGACACCCCTTTGGGATCCCCGTTGCTGCTGCCCGAACGAACAGATAGCCGCTGTCTTCCGCGGCAGCGCGATTGGAATTTATTTATTGCATTAGCCGACCGTCACTCACGGGCCTTGATTGGTGGTACCAGTCAGGTACGACGTTGCGACCGGCCAGGACGCTTCGAGAGATGCAACGGGCACGGCGAAACGAAACCCACCGCGGATACGTCGCGCAAACGCGGTGTAATTATTCTGATTTGTGGCGGGACGGTGCTTGGAACGTCGCCGCGGCTAGCGAAAAATAAAGGGGGAGGGTCTGATTACGTCCGTAGATCGGTAATTATCGCGAGCGTCGCGGGTACCATTTGATGGGACGTTCGTTGTCCCTTCTTCTCTTCTGCGACCGCTTCTCCAGGACCTTGGCATTCGAGAAAGAAGTAATAAACTTCAGCTCCGGTTAAATTCCCACACAAATCCTCCGCGACAAGTCTGGAAGGATGCTTCGATTGACCTCGAGGTTCAGGAGATCTCGGTGAAGTGTTCGTTTCGAAATCGTCAAATTGGTTTAAGAATTTCATTTCTGGGTTACTGATGTCATTTATGACAGAAAAAAGAGTATTCGTTCGTGATAAAGAATGATGAGCGTGGGAAAGGTACAATTTTATTGACACGACCGCCACGTCAGCCACGTTTGTGCGACGGTGTTTTTACGAAATTATATAGTAATGACTAGACTGCGGATCTTTATGCAAATTCATATTTTTATTAATATAATTCATGAAATGGGAGCCTTGTAGAGGGTTGTCTCAACCCCTAAATATAATAACTCGCATCCTACTTTAAGTAATTCTTATATTTTTTCATATTAAGTACATCCTGTAGTTTTTTAAGAATTAAAATTTCCCATAAATGCATAAACATCCGCAGTCTAGTAATGACATTTATCAATTTGTACATTAGAAAATTGTATGTACGTCGATCTTCCTGTCGTTGAAAATAATGCAGGTTTGAAAACTTTGTGTTATGGCGGCATCAATGATAAAATTGACTTCTTCAGTAGCAGCATGACCCCCGAGGAGAAGATGTTTTTCATACTATTATGTGCGGCGAACGACGTAAACTACTTATGATAGGGCCTGATGAAGCAAGGAGTCTCTGCTGCAGATCATCGTTTGTTTCTGTGGAAATTGTCGAGGCCTTCGTTTCTAGCTTCTTCGATCAATCAATGAGAGAGTATTTAATGAACAAATACAGGTAGACTACGAAGAGTATTTTCATCTTTCCACCCTCGCAGGGGTGGAAGAAACAAATGTGGGAAGAGTACACCTTTTAATTCATCGATGTGTTTGAGCATGTCGTGTTTTGATAGATCGATCGGATGAAACGTTTAATCCCATAATTTATTTAATTGCTTACACTTATCTCTCGACTGGCGGGGTAGGATCAATTGGAGCCCGATCTGAGAAATAAGTGGAACAGTATATTTGACCGAATGTGTGATTGATGACACTTAACCCCTAGGAAGAACGAAAGGGGGGCTCGTTAAGATACCTTAACCTTTGAATATACACATTTCTTTAATTAACATTGACATTACGTTAGATTGAACTTCATTGAGGCCATACGTGAAACAACCATCGAGCATCAACTTTGAGAAACCAATAACAGAGGTGTCTCGATGAACTTTCGAACGCGGTTAATAAAATTAAGTACGTTTAAATTAATTTAATAGTTCGAGAGTAAGGTTTGGGACCTCGAATTTTAGTTTTCATCCCGATTGGCGTCGAATTCTGGCGGGACCAAAAATGGTAATTTTGTTCCGACGCGTTATGCGGCAGCGTCAAGGGTCAGGAAACGCTGTATAAATTTGCGAAAGTCCATCTCGGAAGGTTCCACTTAGGAGCCACGGCCGCTGAGGAATTATTCAAGCTGGGCAAGGGTTAATTGCTTGCTTCATCAAACCACCTCCCCGCCTCTTCCGAAGCACTCCTAGACGCGAGTGACGTCACCGTTCCGTATTCGATTCGCCTTTACCGGAACACGGCAATTCTGGACAGCAACAGCAAAGAATGATCCTAACGAACGAAACACGACCAAATCCGGTTAAAAGGAAATTTTGCCTAAACCAGTAAATTAAACTTCATTCCGAAAGTTTCCTTCGGGCAGACTTCGTCCATCTCTTAAAACTTTTACTTTGGAACTTGATAACCCTTTCGAAATAATCATCCATCGGCGAGTAATTGGATGTCGTATGCAACTTTCCTTTCCAATTAATTGTCGGTGCATCGTTGTTTATTGTGAAACCGATGCTACTGGATAAAACCATGGAGGAAGTACTTTCTTGAAAATGTGTTCGTCATTGCACAACTGTACAAGATAAGCTTGAATATCTTTGAAATTGTTTAGCGTACGTATTTGTATATATCATACATTTTTTAAAGATTGATGAAAGTGGCAAGGAAGTGTATAACGTACCGTGTGTTTCGTGGGAACATTTTTCCCGTTTTAAGATCGTTAGGGGGTAAAGATTCCCCGTTTAATTATTGAACTTTTGTTCTCACAGAGGCAATTCACGTTGATCCTGCAAGCGAGAGACGAGGCGAGCGCAGGCGTGATCGAGGAAGCGAGTTACAGCGGCATTGTCCTGCCAGGACCCACGTGGCACACACTCAATCATCAAGGAAGAAACGCTCATCTGGCCTATCGCGTTCGGGTCCAGTGCGCGGATCATTACTACAACGCGACCTGCACGAAGTTCTGCAGGCCGAGGAACGACATATTCGGCCATTACACCTGCGACGAGAACGGGGACAAGGTGTGCATACAGGGATGGAAGGGCTCCGACTGCGAAACAGGTGAGTCGATCCTCTTATTCCTCCTTTCGTGCACGCAGAACGATAACTCGAGAATGAATATTTCACCAAACTCTGGAATTAAATCGAATTATCTTCGTCGCGTCCCAGGTCGATGAAGTTCTTTTTGCCGCGTAATTTCTGTCGAACCGTACTTTTTGCCACCTGTTGCGCGCAGTTGCATGTTCCAATACTGGGTAAACTGAATCCATATTAAGTGATGCAAATTGGTAGCATACTATGAATAGAAAATCTATCGATCTTATCGTGAACGTTTGCATCCTAGCGGGCAATAAATGAAAGTTGAGCGTGTAATTACTGCGCTATCTAAGAAAACGGATCTCCAATTTTAGAATGCAGTCGAAAACTGTGGTACGTGCACCTCAAAATGAAACACTTTCTGTTTTATTTTCTTTATATTAAAACCAACGAAACAATGCAGATTTCTATGACTTTGTGGATCAGATAAGAGACCATCGAATATATTGATTGCTTGGACGAAGAATATTTGCTGTTGACCAGCGTCGTTGGGAATATTACATCGATCGTTCCTTTCCCTGGGGGTCGTTCATTGAATTAGCGCGTTTCTTTTTAATCTGACGGAAGTAAACGCGCACGAAGTACAAGCGTGCCCTCGTAATTAAGTGGAACGACACACGATCGTAAAAAAGTGCCACGGTTCCGTGGAAGTGTACAGCGGCAAAAAACCAGCGAACAAGCGAGCCCAACGTGGCTTTTGTCGTTCTCGCCATCTCGTTACGTATGCAACGAAGCGTCGCGCAAGGCCCTCGGCGATATTGGCGACTAAACGATTCCCTGGCTCTTTTTTACTGTTTTCTTTTCTTTTTTTTTCTCTCGTGCTCGCCACCGTGCCGCCGAGGGAATAATTAATCGATCCGCGAAGCGTGAAATCTCGCGTCGCGCGTAATCACACTCGCGCGACTCACGCCCGTTTCGCTCGCTTTTCTCACGGACGGCTGCGCCTGAAACTAACGAGCCGCCATTACGATGGGGAGGACGACCGGATTTTTCGAGCTTCGAATAAGTCGTTTCTTCTCGTAAAAAAAAATAATAGATTCGATTAATCAGCGACGTGAAAAGCAAACCGTTTCCGCGAAACGAAATGAACGACGAGATCGACGTCGATCCAAGGCCGGAATCGAAGAATCGAACGATCTTTCAAAACGTATTTAATTGGCTGCTCCCAGTCGCCTTCCGATCTCGATCCATTTTTTCTATTCCGTTCGTAACGTTCGATCGATGAATTATGTAAGTCGAACCGAAGGATTTTATAGTCGCCGTCTGGATAAAATTTTTAAAGGAATTACTCATTGATGCCACGCGCGTGTGTGTGTGTGTTGTAGAGTGATTCATAAACATAGAAATAAATCGTAAATCGTCGACTGCTCGCGAAGGTTCGTGGGTTGGTACATTGTACAACTGAAAGAGTTAGAGCTTCGTGTATCATTGGCAGCTGAGAAGAATGCCTCCGAGGAGTACGCTCGGTTCAAACGATTCTATCTACACTACCACAGATGCACGGAAGACGCAGTCTTTCATTGGGAACCGTTTAAACCGAGCGTATCCCTCAGAGGTATTCTTCTAAGCTGCCAATGATACTCCGTCTCGAAGTTGGAATTATAAACGATGTGCTGAAGATTCGACTAACTGTTTATTGCTAGTTCCTTGCAATTCACTGGCATTCACAAAGTTTCTTAAATAATATACAGGGTGTTCGGCCCTGGGAACAAATTTTAATGGGAGATTCTAGAGACCAAAATAAGACGAAAATCAAAAATATGTTGATTGAGGCTTCGTTAAAAAGTTAAATTAAAAAATTTCAAATCATTCACGAAAAAATTATTTTTGGTTGCAAGGGTCAATTACAATCATTTTTTGCCATTACACATACACCCAAAATCCTGCGCAGTTTCGAGAAAAAAATTCGAGAATGTATGCAATTTTTCGACAAAATTAAAACATTTCAAATCGTTCTAAAAAAATTATTTCTAGTTGCAGAGGTCTATTACAATAATTTTTGGTGAATAGACGCACCCTCGAAATCCTTCGTATTTTCGAGAAAAAAATTCGAGAATGTGTGCAATTTTTCGACAAAATTAAAACATTTCAAATCGTTCTAAAAAAATTATTTCTAGTTGCAGGGGTCAATTATAATCGTCTTTGGTGAATAGACATACCCCCGAATTCCTACACACTTTCGAGAAAAAAATTCGAGAATGTGTAAAATATTTCGACAAAATTAAAACATTTCAAATCGTATTACAAAAATTATTTCTAGTTGCAGGAGTCAATTACAATACTTTTTGGTGAATAGACATACCCCCGAATTCCTACGTACTTTCGAGAAAAAAATTCTTTACCGAAATTATACTGTGTGGCCGGAAATGTTTCTCTAACTTTTTAACGAAGCCTCAATCAACAAATTAGTATGCATTAAAATTTTCCTCAGGGGTGGCTGAACACCCTGTATAATGTCTTATTGCGAGACCTCTTCTGTTTTGTCATAAATATCACAGACAGACCAATTTTACCGATTCATCCTCGATGAAGCAGTGAATTGCGAATAACGTCTTCGATCGAATATACAAAATGGACGTCCCGTTAGGCCCTAGACGCCGTGCCTATTGCTCCTAATGAATACTACCGACTTCGCTGAACCCAGAGACATTTCGATGTGACTCAAAGGCAGTAAACTTTTTCCCAGCATCTTTAACCACCGTTACGCTTGATTAATTGGACACGTAACTTCGCCGCCTCTGTGCAATGAATAAACGCGAGAAGTTAACGCTCGCGCCGACCACTTTTGCACCGTACCTTCCGGCTGTGCGCCCGAAAAACAATTACTCTCGGCCATAAATGCCAAGATGTCTACCGGGGGCTCTCGTGTTTCTCGCAAATTGCAAGCGAGGGAAAGTGAAAATCCGCGCAGCATCGAAATATCTCTGTTTTCGATGGTCCTGCGTGTTCGTGATCTCGAGTTTGGCTGTTTAAATCCGAGACACCGTGTATGCACGGCTTCTGTATAAAGCCAAGGATAGACTATTGCGCATCTCCGTTCCTCGTGGCGGGTTTCATCAGACTTTCACGTTGCTTTCATCGCCACGAGGGAAGGCAGAAGCCTCGATGCGCGGATCGAAGCAAAGACGCGGCACAGCGCAAACACACGAATTATCTCGAAGCGTGCCTCAATGAGCGGACGTTAGACGCATGTCGTACGATCGTATAAAGGTATGTAGCCAGCATCACGCCAGATCCCCTCGCACAATGCTGACCCGACTAATATGGCAGCTCTTTCTTCGCTGCTTAATCGTTACTTCCGCCTCCCCGTGTCTACGACTCATCCGACTACTACGTTTTGTCCCTCCATCTTGGTGGGGGATCGTCGTTTTCGCGAGGGCCCTGATAAACCGTCCAAATCGATCGCTTCTAAACTTTTTGGGCGGCTAATATCGTTAAAATACTCCCGAGTATTTCAAAAAACATCATAACCAGTATTCTAGACATTTTTACTTTAAAAATTCCTGAAAATTCCTTCAATAATCGAGGGAAAAGTTTCCCCGAAGATTGAGAGATTCGAAAATGAAAATAGTAAACGTTGCACTTAATTATTATTAATATCTTTCAAAGTGAACTAAAATCGTGTACATACAGCGAAGCTCGAAATAGCTGAGAGTAGCTGTCTTTACTTCCAATGTTCGTTATTAATGGATGGTATCTGTTATGCACTGGCGCGTCATTAGTTAACGAGGTTCTCGTTAATTGCAGTTTTCCTTGAGCATGTGTTCCAAAAAAAAAAAAGTATCTGTTTATTCCTTGTTCCATAAACGTATCATTAACGAGTTTACGTTTCTCAATCGAGAATTCTTTCGCAGGCTTCCTCCTTTTTTCCCACCTCTCATTTCACATGCACGCAATCAACGACTCGTTCGTTATTTGCTAGTAAACCAATCTGTGCCCGAAAAAAAATGGTAGACAGTGGTCTTGGAAAGTCTCGAATCGATTTGAATAACTGAAACCAAGTCGGAGAAAGTAGGACGAGGTATTATAATTCTTTTCCGTGGAATAGTAATTAGCATTCGCGATGATGTCGAGTGAAACAAAACTGTTCCGACTCGTTGCCCGTAAAGAGAGTTACGATAATGTGTTTGTCGAACATCGAAATTATATCTGAATTCGTATTCGATGTTAAATTCAATAAAGCGAACATTCGTTTTTTACCGACGATAAAACAGAGTTAGAGAAAAATTCCTTTATCAAGATCTTTCACAAACGCCGTATAATCTCGAGAAATTTATCGTCGCGACGTCTCAAAGTAAAATGGACGACCGCGCGGAGAACGCAGCCAGTTTCCCTTGACACTGTGAACTTTAAGATTTTCTTGCTTGCGTTTACGAGCTTAAGCTTCGCGAAGATAAATTTATAAATTTCCTTGAAAAAGACCATGATTGTTAGTCTTTAATTTTCAAATAATCGAATTACTTGAAAAGTCGTGGAATTGGAGGAATATTGGAACGCGTTAATGGCGATGGAAGGTTCTGTAGGAAACAGAACGCCCCGTTTGGCGATTACCAGTGACCAGAGAACTGTTCGCATAGAAAGTGTCTCCGCAGAAAAGACAGAGGTCGAATCTCGGAGATACCAGAATATTCCAAACGTTTAACGACGCCAGCAAGATCATATTATCGTTCTGCAATTAGACGCGTTCCACTTTCGTCGAACGTAAGGAAGGAACAAGGACGAACGATCCCAATTAGGGACCATCGGTGGAAATCGTGTACTCGTGAGACGATGAGCCGGTTGGTTACGAGAAGGAGAGAACTGGCTCCGGCATTTTTGTCGCGCTGTGAAAGGTCAATACGAGAATTTCACTCGTGCATCGTCTTCACACGAGCTCTATGCACCAACCGCCATCGCGCAACACCGTTCGAGGAGAGAAGCGTCGTATTCTCGCTCGGACGTGGCACACGTTCGTTTGCATTTGACCCCTTTTCGACAGAAACCCGCGGTCGTAAAATGGCTACCGATGGTTCTGGAAAAATCGATAACGGGCACGAATCGTGTCGCGGTATTTTAAAAACGTTAATGGCGCCCGACAACGACGGTGCTCGGTGGGAAATTAATATCGATGATATAAATTTCAATTAATAGTCGTTTCACCCTTCCTTACGAGCATCTATTTTTCTAAATATCAAATGATATTGGAACATCTGACGATGTTGTGAAGCATCCTGTTAAACTTTCGTTGCACCCCTGTTGCTAGATTTCTGGGTGCGCCATTGTGAATTCGGTACGCAAGCATAACGTACAAAGGTCACGCGAGGATTTCCTCCATCGAACTTTCCAATTTACGATCGTTCTCGTGTGTCAGCTGTTCGTCTAGTTGCTCCGGAGACCAGTGGCGAAGAAATTAGAAGAGGGAAAGAAGGTCGGGGTGAAACTGGTGCATGAATTATTTTCGCTAATTTAGCGTTGTTAAAGTCAGTCCCGATGCCGGGGACCCCGGTTTATGGCGGACAGGCGCGTAAATCGTAAAATGTCGTGGTTAATAGCGCGAGATAAGTAAACGTTCGGTTTTCCATGGAGAGATTATCGCCTCTGCCCCGTGGCAAAGGTAAAACGTTACAACGTGAAAGTCGTGAACCTTCACCTGTAATCCGATTCTTCGCGCGTCCGTTCCGTTCACCAGATCGGTGAATAAGAAAATAAAGAAGCCGCGGCGTACGAAGACGAATTGCGCGCGTTAATTTGCCTGCTGCCGGCGCAATCGACAAAAAACTCATAGACGTGTAACTGTAGACGGTACGGGGATGGATTTATAAATCCCGAACAACGAGAAAACGGTACTCCGTGCTGGTTGTTGATCAACGAGGATCTATGCAAAATATTAATCTCCGGACAGACGCAGCAGATGCTCCCTTAATTTATCGCCCTTAATTTATGGGGATAAAATATCATTTTCAAAGCTGTTCGTTTACACTCGAGAATGCGCACGAAGACGGTTCTTCAAAGTCATTCAACTTTTCCTCCCACAAATGTTGCCCGTCTCTGTGAGATACAATACACGTTTTCAATTTTTAGAATTTCATGGAAGATAAATTTTTCACCATTTTTGCCTATAAAACAGCCGTGTCGTATACCCTCGGCTCTCCCGGCCAGCCCACACACTCGATTTACTCGATTTCACGCGTAGACAAGCGTAATTAACACTCTGCAGTGCTCGATCGATGCCCCCCGGCGTTGCAGTCGCCTGGTAATCGACTTTCCCGAACCAAGTATAAATCCTCGCCAAACAAAGATTCCTCGACTAAGTGATTCCCGCACCTGTTGCGTCCCTAGCCAAGAAAAAATAAAATGGCGGCCCTAATTGTTAGCACAGAGCCTCTCGCTTATCAAAAAATTACTATCTTCTATTTACTTATATTCGTTTGACAACTTTATTGCACATGTATGGGAAAATAAGCATTCGCTGCAAGGGATGGGACGCAAGAAAATAAAATTTTCAAAAAGTGAAATTGGCGGTAAATTCAAACTCGAAACGACGTAGAAAAGAAATCTGGGTAAACCAAAGATCTAAGAACTCCCTAGGAAGCAAAAATCCCGGAAAAACACAATCGCATGCGCCGTAACGTCGAGGTGGACTGCGTTTCGCGGACGCATCGTTATTTAGGGCCTCGAATGTCACGCTGCAGTCACATAAATATCCGCGAACGAGAAAGCAGGACTATTAATCATTAAAGATCCCGCGAGCCTGTGTATACTTCGTACACGCGTCCTCGTGTCGTCGTGGCTTAAAATATGCAGCCAGCGCGTATAGCGATAGGTATGTCCAAGGGTTTCGGATCGAAAAATAGTTGGGACTCGACCGTGTGTAAATACAGCGTGTCCTAGATTCGAGTGGACAGATCCTGACAGCGGGTTTCGGTGATCTCCAGAGGAACGTCCATCGAGTTCGGTCGGTCAGCCACGTCGTGTCTCAATCCAGAGTTTTGAAATAGCAAGTTTCACGCGAAATTAACTCGAATCGAATGGTGGCTCACGAGTAACAAGAACTTATAAGTGTCTTATTGCTTGGAAGACGTTATAATGGACTGGTCACCATCTTGTGAACCAAAATAGATTTCCTGACGAGAACAGGGTGCATCGAGGAGCTCTGTCAACGACTCGTATCTGTAACACCCTGTACCCGATCCTCCGCGTTCTTGTCGCGCGGTGGACGTAACGGTACAGAGTTTGTGCGTCGGGTTTGAAAGTTTTGAGTGATACGTGCACGCGTGTCGCGCGGCGTGAATTTTCGTTTCACGGTCAGAGGGATAATCCTTCTCTCTGTCACTTCTCATCCGTCTTTCTGTCCTCCCGGCTAATTGAGTTGCTCGGCCCCGGCCAGAGATCTTCCACGACGCGTTCCTTTTTTCCTCGACTTTTTCTTTTTTTTTTCTTTCCTCTTCTTTATTCCGGCCGACCGCGGGGAACGAGATCGTCGTTTCCAGAGATACGGTACCACGGCCGCAACGAAATTGGATTTCGTCATCCCTGCCACCTGTAAGAAGCCCCGTATCCGTTTTGCCCCGCCTCCCGAGGGACAGCCTCGCGGAGATACGCGCCGCACGAAACGTCCATGGATCGTATAATCCTCCGGTGGACGTGGCCGCGGAAAATAATCCGACACTTATGCCTTCGCGGCCGTGGGCGGATTAATCGTTTGTGTTTTAACTTCCATTCACGGCTGTCTTTTGTGCCGTTTGGCGTCGCGTCGCGGTCCGCGTCGGTTATTGTTCGCCGGAGGAGGATTACCCGGTTGGGAAGTCGTTTTGAGTTATGCGCGACGCTGGGAAGAGGCTCTTCTTATTCCTTCGTTACCGGAGTCCGGGTCTGGTGCAGGAAACGAACGATACCCAGGGAAACGGGACGGGTCCCGGATAACTGATGGTACCGATGATCAGACCATCGGGGGCAAGAGTTCCGAGACTCGTCCCCGGTTACCAATTTGTGCTTTGCTTAAAGAACAGATCAATTCACTTTAGAAGGCACGATGTACGAGGATTTGTAACCGAGATCTCTAACGACACCATTTTGATAACTGTTTTCACTTGTAGCAATCTCCAACCCCTTTATATTAACTCGAGGATTCGAAGCTAAGGAAGATTGTGTAGAACCCCTATCTAATCGCGCGTTGATGGTTTCAGCGGTCTGCAAGGAGGGCTGCCACCCTGTGCACGGCCATTGTAACGTCAGCGGCGAGTGCAAGTGTCGCCACGGTTGGCGCGGCGATCTCTGCGACCAGTGCACCCCGTATCCCGGTTGCAAGCACGGCTACTGCAACGGTTCGAGCTGGCAGTGCATCTGCGACACGAACTGGGGCGGCATCCTCTGCGACCAGGACCTCAACTATTGCGGCACCCACGAGCCCTGTCAGAACGGGGGCACCTGCGAGAACACCGCGCCCGACCAGTACAAGTGCACCTGTCCCGAGGGATTCTCGGGCCCCACCTGCGAGAAAGTCGACAACCCCTGCGCCTCGAATCCCTGCTTGAACGGGGCTACCTGCCGGGAACTCGGCGAGAGCGCTCATTGCGAGTGCGCCGCTGGTTTCACGGGGCCGTATTGCGCTACGGACGTTGACGAGTGCGCCTCGCAACCCTGCCAAAATGGCGGCACCTGCGTGGACGGGAAAAACGGATTCGTCTGCAACTGTCCGGCAGCCTGGCAGGGCATCCTCTGTCAGTTCGACGTCGACGAGTGCGCCCTCAAGGAGTCGCCGTGCAAGAACTCTCTGACCTGCGTCAACCTCGCCGGGGACTACAGGTGAGACGCCATTCTGTGTTTGATAAAAGTTTAGAACGAACGCGAGAAGACCAGATGTTAATCGATACGTATCGATTCGTTCGCTAGTATCTGCCTCTCGCCCATCGCTACCCAAACGTTTCCTACGTTCTTGTTTCGCAACAACTGGTTTGCTTGAAACTCTAAGTCCAAGAGCGTTATAAGAAATCGACTATTAAGATGCCCCATTAAGCTAAATTAGAACGCTCGCTTGATATTTCCATCCGAACTATGAGAACCAATCACCCTGACGCAATCTCCGTCCTCGGTGAATTTATTGAACTTCAAACGTTCCGTGACCAATCAAGATATCTGCCTCCGGGCGTTAACGCCGTGGATCTTCTCTATTTTCACTATTTTCTCTGTATCGTTTTCAGATGTCGCTGCAGAAGCGGCTTCACCGGAAAGAACTGCACGAAGAACATCAACGATTGCGTCGGCCAGTGTCAACACGGGGCGCTCTGCATCGACCTGGTGGACGACTATCACTGCAGCTGCACCGCGGGTTACTCTGGCAAGGACTGCGACGTGGACATCGACGAGTGCGCCTCGAAGCCGTGTCAGAACGGCGGCGAATGCAGAGACCTGGTGAACGCCTACGAGTGCGTCTGCCCCGTTGGCTTCACCGGTTATCAGTGCGAGATCGACAGGGACCACTGCAGCCCGAATCCCTGCAGGAACTCCGCGCCCTGCTTCAACACTCAGACCGATTACTATTGTCACTGCCCGGAACAATGGCAGGGGAAGAATTGCTCCGAGCCTGCCTCTCACAACCCGCAGTTCGGGATCATGGACGAGGAGACCGGATGCGGCAGCGAGGGCACTCCTTGCGGCGGCAGAGGCAGATGCAGCGGCGGTAGATGCATCTGCGACCCTGGTTACACCGGGATGCACTGCCACGAGAACATCAACGACTGTCGGGGCAATCCTTGCCTGAACGGGGGGACCTGCGTTGACCTGGTCAACTCGTTCCAGTGCATCTGCAGGGAGGGCTGGACCGGGGATCTCTGCGATCAAGGTAAACATCTATAACAGATAGCACGCTAACCTTTCTTTCTTTCGAATCTTCTAGTAAGATAGATCTTTGATTTGAAATTTGTTATTTGAAGCAACCTTGTGCAGTGATCTGAACAAGAAGAATCCAACCTCCTAATCCCATACACTAAGTAGACAGATGATTAGTACCTTAACATATTCTGACCACTGCACAGGGTTGATGTGGAACGATGTACTACATATTGAGAGACGAGACGATGGCACATGTAATCCCCTCCACTTCCTAGGTTCTTGGCTATTATTGGTTAAGACAATGACGAACCAAGGTCCAGGCCAAGAACCTAAACAGTGGAGGGGATGCCCTTTGCCCCTCGTATCGCTTAGCTTGCCAATATCTAAATTTCATTACCACTATCGCTATCAATATTTGAATATAAGCAATCCGGCCAGTCGAATGAAACTAAAATGACTAAAATTAGTGGCTCTGTTTTCAGACGTGGACGAATGCATGGCGTCGCCCTGTCGCAACAACGGGACCTGCGTGGACGGGGTGGCGGACTTCACGTGCATCTGCAGAGGCGGTTGGAAGGGGAAAACATGCGCCCTGCGAGGTGGTCACTGCGAGCCGGGCACGTGTCGTCACGGAGGGACCTGCCAGGACCGCGGCGACGGATTCACGTGCCACTGTCCGCCGGATTGGGAGGGTGCAGCCTGCCACATAGCGTCGCCGGCGTGCGCGAGCAACCCTTGCGAGAACGGGGCGACCTGCGTGAACACCGCCGATGGGAACTACAGATGCGTGTGCCGCGAGGGCTTCGAGGGGCCGAATTGTCGCCGGGACGTCGACGACTGTCAACCGTTGCCGTGCTTGAACGGCGGCAAATGTGTCGACGGTATCAACTGGTTCAGATGCGAGTGCGCGCCGGGCTTCACCGGTCCGGATTGTCGCATAAACGTGAACGAGTGTGCCAGCGACCCGTGCACAGGTGGTTCCACCTGCGTGGACGGGATAGCGAGTTACTCGTGCGTTTGCCCGCCGGGTAGGAGCGGAACGCGCTGCGAGATCCGCACCGCGGGCGGTCCTGGTTGCATGGTGGCCAGCTGGGACGACGATTGCAACATCTGCGAGTGCCGCAACGGGAAGAATCAGTGCAGCAACATCTGGTGCGGGCCCGGGAACTGTCTGAACGGCACCTCGTGTCTGGCTCACGAGGTGTGCGTGCCCAGCCCGAGCGAGAGCTGTTTGTCGCCGCCGTGTCCAGCCTGGGGCGAGTGTCGACCGGTGGAGACTGGCAGAAGAGTGGGACCTCCGGCTCTGCCCGCTCCGCCATCTTGTTGGCCCGGGCAGGCCACCACGGGACCCACCTGCTCCAGGCTCACCATCCTGCTGAGAAGAGACACCCTGGCGGCGGGCACGTCGGTGGAGATCCTCTGCCGTCGTCTCAGAAAGCTTCTAGCCGATCCCAGGAGGCCGCAGTCGATCGTCCTTCTCTGCGATTTGAAACCAGGGGACAACGACACGGTGGAAGTGACCATCTTCTCCGAGGCCGCCGTGGACGCGGCCAGGGACCTAGGCGAGGCGCTCAGCCGACCCCTGGGAAGACCTCTCGCTCTGGCCTCCGTGCTGGAGGTCAAGGTGGAGACGGCCTTGCTCAGCGAGCCGAGCTCGGGGAACGCCAGCAGCGCTGGCAGCTACGTGGCCGTGCTAGGCGGTGCTCTAGCGACGGTCCTGGTGCTGGCCCTATTCGGCGGGCTCTGGTACCTCCGGTCGGTCAGGCAACGCTCCAGCCTCACCGCGACGACTAGCAGCGAGACCTCGTTGCACAGACATCGCAGCGACCTGGACGAGAAGTCCAACAACCTACAGAACGAGGAGAACCTTAGGAGATACGCGAACCCGTTGAAGGACCAGGACCAAGGCGAGCCGCGAGTCTCTGTCGTGAGGCCTCTGTCGGGTACGTCACTAGGCGCCCTGGGCACCACCGAGGAGAGCTTGGAGATGGTCTCCGAGGAGGGTAGACATCGCCTGCCGCCCCTTTACAAGCCGCCCAGCGCGGAGGCTAGGAACAACACTGCCAGTTTCAGCTACGAGGAGGGGCCCCACAAGCCGTACAGCAAACCGAGACTACAGGAGCCGTCGTACTCTCATCAACAACCCGGCACCAGCCAAACGTCAGGACCTCACCAAGTATTGACGGTGCACGTGTAATGGCGTCGCGCGAACGAAAACGGAGCAACGGACGTTGAGTAGGAGGCGTCGGATTTAAGGACAGTAAGAGCGTCGCGGATAAGGAACGTCGACCAGAGACTCGTATCGCGAGACCGCAGGGATATATCGAGGTCTCTTTTTCCTTGTAGAGCTCGTTCGTTCGGGGTAGATACGCGGATAGGTAGATGGAGAACGACAAGAGGCATTTTTTTTCTTCCTATCGCGAGGTTAAGACTTTTAATCGCGATCGCAACGAACGAACGCGATGAAAAAAACGCGAATAGTTGCACGCGAAGCTCCGTCTTCGGAGTCACGATCCGAGCTGCTCTCCGTCTACCTTCGCCGGTTGCCCTCGCGATTCACACGATACATGACAATAACCGATCGACGATATATAATTATATTGATAACGCCGAGTTGTTTTATCGTTGTACATATGTACATAGCTCGTACTTATTAATTTCGCTAAGCCTGTATCTCCCTTGGACGCGCCGTCGGCCCTGCAACTCTCTTAAGGTGTAAGACTCGACGTTGTATTCCGCGTTGATCGTAGTTTGCCGCGGTTCCCTCGCCCCCCCCTCGTCGTCTGAAGCCGATTCTGTCCGTACGACTTAGGCGTGTGTAGCACTTAGGCAAACGATTCTGCGCGAACGCAGGCTTCGGACGTTCCGTCGGACGATACTATTGTGATACTCATAGAGAGAGGACATCGTGCGTAAGACTACTTCATTCTCATCCCTCTGCAGCACCGTCGCGCCCTCTTGAATTCGTCGTTGATCGTTCGTCGATCAAACCGAGAAACAGGGAAACGTACAGCTCGACGAGTACAATATGACCCCGGCAGCAGTGGCGTAGAGAACGACGGGGACGAGACCAGGCCATTGGATTGTCGCCTCTGCAACGAAAGGGTAATTTGTTGAGCTATACGTTTACCGCGAAAGCGATACGTTCGAATGACGGTTCTCGCGTAAATCGATCATCAATTTCACGATACACAAGGGCCTCTCAGAGATCGAAAGAGGCCCCAACGCTACTTACCTTTTAAAGGCCCCCAGAATATTAAAAGAAAACTATGTTCTGTGAGTAGTATCTTTTATGCAAAGAGCAATATTCCAAATTGAAGAGACTCCTTGATGGATGCAGCGTTGTGACTAAGATTCAATAGTAATCAGATTGGTCGAACGATTGACATTGCTCTACGTATCGAAACTATTAGCATTGCCAAGAGTGTGAGATACAAATTTCTTACCTATCTCTTTCGTGTAAATTCGAGGTCCCCGTAAGTGTGAGGCCCCAGTCGGTCCAAGCTGTGATAGGGCCTGTACATATGTACTTCCTCGCGCGCGATCCGAAAGAATTCGATGCTGAAACTTTCGATCGGCGGTGAACGAGAGCGTCGAGAAACGACGAAATTTTTTCCGACGCTGGAGGGTGAACGACACGTGTCACGATCGCCATGTTGCGAGACGCGAACGAGAGCCACAACATGGCATCGCCGAACGATGTAAATAATCCCTCCCCACACACACAACGTACATAGTTCCAGATCCACTTTCTCGTTTCACCGAGTCCCCTTGGATCCTCCTTTTTACCTATGTTCTTCTCTACCCCCTTTCCCCGCCCTTTTAGACGTGCAATTTTTACTTTTCTTTTTTCTACTTCTCGTAGTATCGTTCCAGCGTCGCGACGCGCGACGACCGAAATCGCGCGGTACACTTAGACTTTAAATGAAACGGAGGGGCGCATAACTCGTATTAGACGATACCCGTAAGTTGTAACGGAAGGAAGAAATTTTTTATAACAGATACCTTTATTTTATAAAGAAAAAATCTATATTATTATACAAATATATAGAAGCGATGAGGAAAAAAAAATATATATATATATATATAAATATATATATTATATTATTTTATATTATATTATATTATTTTTATTTTATTGTCTTGTATTAATTATTGCGTGATCACGGACAATAGTTCTTCGATCGTTCCTCAAGCTCCGAGCCATCGATCCGACGACCAGGTTCATCCATTACCCGATCGATCGTCACGTTCCACGTACAATCCAACAACTATATAAAATAAAAAGAAAATTCTTTGACACACCCGACGAACTAATGTCCCTGGTCAAACGGTAGATAGCTAATGGATAATCCCTACGCGATGTGATCAGCCCCCGTGTCAGATACCGAAGGAGGCGTGAGCGAGTGAGTGCGTGTAAATAATAAGCTCCTTCCAACCCCCGACACCCCCCCAAACCCCTCACCCTCAGACCACTTTTTCTCGCCTAAGGTTACGAAGATGAAAATGTTTCAATAAAAAGTACAACCCTTCGAGATCGTCTGGCTGTTCACGTTTATTGCACCCGAATTCTCTCACGCAAGCCTCGTGTCCCCGCGCAGGTTGCATTCAAATCACCGCGAACGCACAATCGTGCGTACAAACGTGCCTTCCGGGATCGCAGTTCGTCGATAGCGTTCTTTCGACTGCCTCGCGTCGGATTGGCCGAAAAGCAACCGCGCCTTTTTCCCCTGTAAACGAAAATCGAGTTTCAGCACCAAAAAAAAAGACTCCATTTGCATTTACCGTCGATACAGCCATCTTAGCTATACACGAGTGGTTAAGCGTATGCAAAATAAAATAATGTCATAGTTTCTCAAACTGAAACCCAAATTGACAATTATTTTGAGCAAGTTGTGCCCCTTCTTTGCCTGGAAGAACTCGTTATTTTTCGTAATTACTCCCCGAGCAATAAGAGCGTAAATGCGGCTGGTGAACAACCTCCGTGGTACATGGATCCGGATTTCGTAGACGGCAAACCGGGACCAGGGATTTCAATAGATCGTTTCATTGAGGATAATGCTGTTCATTATCATCGAAAGCGCGTCTGAGATTAACAAAGGCCCCCGTGTGGGCAATTTCGTGGCCGTGACAACGGCGGCCATCGGGCGATCTTGACCACGGGACACGAGCTCCGTACACCAGCGTGACCGTTGAATGAACGATCTGTCAAAATTACAATACAATGGCCCAGAAGAGCCACTTGACGAATACCCGGTAAATGAGTCAGCCCTGCCAGTGGCCGAATAAGGCCCGTGTGAACCGCCGTGTGTCCGAGAGCTACGGCGTAAATGGGATGCCTTGAGCAAGCACGGAACCAAGATTGCAACCAGCCACGACAACTGGAAGAAATACGACGCGATTAAACTTTGGATCCCATCGTGGACCACGGGGGGTTCAAATGTTAAACGTCTCGCGAAACTTTACTGTTTACTACAAACTAACTATATTGTATATCCAACCGTCGATTCAACTGGTTGAAAAATCTAGGTGCTCCTATGGTTGGAAAAACATTAGCAAATCGAAAGTAATTTTCTCGTCGAGTATTCGTGAAACTTATTTTAGCATTTGACAAGACCCCTAGAAGATGGGGGAAGTTGGTTGAGTATTTTTGGAGAACTCGTTCGAGGATTAATAACAAAACTGGGAAGCTTAAAATCCATGTTGCGACAGATTAAATAATACTAAAGATTGTAGGTTACTACGCGGAAACGGAGAATTTTAAGGTGCTGCAAGTTACGTTTACGATTTACTTTCCCTCGAATAGCGTTCGACATTTTTAATTCCAGAATATGGACGATGACAATGCCACGGAAGTATCGGAATATTCCGATTACAGAGTATGGTCCGCGTATTACGAGGACGAAGGTTATGAGGACGAGGCGGAGGACTTCGCGGAAAAGGGTGGAAAGGATGAGCAAGCAGACAAAGACGAAGTGATAGATATATTCGAGATCGTGTTGGCCCACGTTCGAGACAAAAGGGCGGAGAGGATCGCAGCCGAGGCCGAAGAAACGAAGGCGAAGCTGCGAGCATTGATTGGTGTAATTCTGTCTTAAGTTCCGTTTTTGAGAAAGAAGTTCCACGAGGTCTATGTCGAATTTCTAGATAAAAGAGAAGGAAGTCTCCGAGGAGACGTTGATCACTCCGGAAGAGAAATCCGACGTTTCCACGTCGTCGAGAACAGAAAGTTCCATCCACCCGTGCCTCTTGGACATAGACATCAGCGATTCTCAATTGAAGTTGCAAAATCTTTATACAATGTACCCGATACCCGACGATCCTGGCCTGGTGCCAGCGTTCTGGACCGTTCACGAGCATCAGACCACTTATCCCGACGACGGCGCGGAGAAGTTTTTCGATATGGCGGAAACGTTCAAAATCCAGTCTATAAAGGCTTTGGGGGACATGATGCTGTCCAATGAAATCAAACTGCAATATTACGGGGTGGACCCGCGGGCTATCAGGCTCCTCTGCGAAGCTCTGATGAACAACATCACGGTGAACACTATTAATCTCACGGTAAGGCGGACATTTTAGATTTATTGCGAAGCAAAGACGCTCCTAGCATTCTCTACGTTTCGACCATTTCATTCCGGGTCTCTTCAGGACAACTGGTTGTCGGAGGACTCCTGCTATCACCTGAACGATTTGCTCCTAAAAAATAGCTACGTGGAGACTCTGTTGCTATCGGGATGTCGAATCGGCGCGAAAGGTGTCGCGAGGCTTCGGGACGGAATTTCAGACAGCACGACGTTGATAAGACTGGACCTGGACAGTTGTAATATTCGCAACGAGGGCCTCGATTATCTTACAACAGCGGTCTGCGAGAACAAGAGCCTCGAGAGTCTGTCGTTGGCCGACAATCACCTGGACGAGTCTTGTGCGGACGCTCTGCAAAAATTGGTCTCGTGCTCGAAGACGTTGAGAGTTTTGGGGCTGTCGTGGAATTCTCTGTACACCGCGGAAACTTGGAAGAAATTGATCAAGGGGATCGAGAGAAACGAGACTTTGATCGATCTTGATTTATCGTGGAACGCATTGGGCAAAGAATGCGTCCACTATCTTCGACAACTCCTGTCGCGTTCTCCAGCACTGAAGAAATTAAATCTAAGTGGTAATATAGCGAGTGCAAACTCCCAAAGCTTCTCGATCGCCTGCTCATTTTAGTAATTATGACTAGGAAATCAGTTCTACGACGAGAATGCCACGATTATCGCCAGAGGTTTGGCGAGAAACGCGGTATTGGAAGAGCTGTATTTGGGTAACAACCCCTTGAAAGCGGAGGGTGCGTTCGTTCTTGTCAGAGCAGCCACTCCGAAAAGGTCGCCCGAAAGTCGGTTGCGCGTTCTGGACCTCACGAACGTTTGGGCGAATAAAGCTATACTACACGAGCTGAATGCAATCGCGAACGACAGGCCGTGGCTCGAAGTTAAGCTGGGAGGGATACTAAGCAACTACGAGATCCACGGCCCAGACGTGAAAGCGTTACTTTTCAAGAGAGCGAACTTCGAAGCTATGAGGCCTAAGAGAAAACGACAACGCAGGAACTTTGGTCATTTCGTCCTGTCGCTGACCGAGGAACCTATTTCGAGAAGTACGTATTACGTCCTAATGGTAAAGAACATCTACGAAGTAAAAATAAACATTTTTTTACTCATCTAAAACTACCATGAATTTGAAGATTAAAAAAAAACTTTTAAATGCTCGTAATATATAGAAATTAATGTTTTCATCTTCAGTAAGATTTATGGAACTCGTGAGGCGCTTCCGAATGAAGCTCTCAAAGACTCTGGTAGATGCAATTATGAATGAATTTGTTGGAATAAGAAATACTGTGGACCAAGAATTATTAAAATCGGTTTACATGACACAATACCCAGATACAACACTTCCGCCGGAAAGACCCAAAAAGAAGAGGAAAGGTAAAAAAAAGGGTCTAAAACGGAAAAAGAAGGTGAAAGCAAAAGAGTAAAGAACATAATAGAAGATTTATTTAATAGTTAAATTACTACCTCTCTTTCGATTAATAAGAACTAAAATATTAACAAATATCATGAGTTTATTTTGTTTTTATAACATTATAATAGTAATTTGAGGGGGAAAAAAACAATAGTATCATATTTGTGCCTTCCGAGAGATGAGAAATAAATAAAGTAAAAAATTACAATACTAGCAGTAACATCAATCATACATTTTAATACAGTGAGTTTTAGTCTAAGTAGAATATCCTCGCGGAGATATCGTCGACGATCCAGTTTATTCCTTCCACGAGATTTTCTCCCGTGACTGCAGAACATTTAAAAATTTGCCAATGATGAGTTTTAATATTAGGCAGTTCCAGAATTTCTGCAATATCCGATGCAGACAATGCTCCAGGCAAGTCTTGCTTATTTGCAAATATTAGAAGACTTGCACCCTCTAGCCTTTCCTCTTGTAAAAGTTTATACAATTCTGTTTTACAATCTTCCAGTCTTCTCCTGTCTGCACTGTCAATTACCCAAATAAGTCCATCTGTAGATTCAAAGTAATTTCTCCAATATGAACGCAATGATTTCTGACCACCCACATCCCATATATTAAGTTTATATCCGCGATGCTCTAAGGTTTTGATGTTGAAACCAAGAGTCGGTGATATTGTATCGATTGGTTCCCCATTCATCCTTTTCAAAACCGTTGTTTTACCAGCATTGTCCAAACCTCTAAAAAGATATAGAATATTTATGTAACATTAAAAGTATAATATCATTTCGTATCAAACGATGCTCATAAGAACGCGAATACAAATTTTATTAAGAGGATCGATGAATTGTTTGATACAAAATTATACTTTTACTACAAAACATAATATTTCGCAGTAAGTGACAGTACTCCTTTCTAACCTCAAAATTCTTAAAAGACTAAAATACGTACAACATTAAAATGCGCATCTCTTTTTCCTTCTGTTTTAATTTTTTAAGTACGGTTAGCAAACCCATTGTACATTACATGAAAATATTATGGGTAATAATTTTAAATATACGAATATGCAATGATTGGACGTAAAACTCTGTTTTTCATGCTGCAGCAATGTTACTAGACGACAGACCGGTGCCCAGAGGAAGCTTTTATATCACTAAAATTCTCCAGATCCACCTATTTTAATAATAAACTATAAAAGTGGGTGGAACTTGTTAGAATATTGTGTCAGATTAATAGAAGGCAGAAAGGAAAGTATTTTCTGAAGCTTTTCGTTTTAATCCTGACCGCTATCTAGTGTGTTCAGCAGTTCTCATGAAACGTGCGCCATTTTCCTATTAGGCGCGAGGTCTATTTTATGCATCGTTTATGGTATCCATTGTTTCATATTGTAAACAAACGAATGTATCGATTCAAACATTCTTAGGTTTATTCCATAAACACAGAACGATGGATAATAGTTGAAATATTTAAAATGTTTGAACTGTATGTAACATAATGATTAAAAAACTCGAACAACAAAGCGCGAAAGCAGTCTCGTTTAAAATGATTTTTAACCGCGTACATCATTACACCGTTCGAAAAAAAGGATAATATTTATAACTTTTACAAATTTTACATATTACACTTTGATAAATTCATACTTTATGATTATAAATTTGTATATAATCTCTGTTACGTTGAAATGGTGTTAGAGTATAACTACTTCTTTTACACAAATGTATGTCATGTTTGTAAACAGTTTGGCAAACAAGTTTCTTTGAAAAGATGCGGTAGTTGTACAATGATTGCTTATTGTTCTAAAGAGCATCAAAGAGAACATTGGCCACAGCACAAGGATTTGTGCTGTGCGATATATGATGTTTTGCAAGATAACAAAATGTCAAGCTTTTTAATTAATAATCAAGATCTTTGTACAGAAAAGTGGACCCGAATGAAAATGAATTTTATGTTACTAGTAGCAATGAAGATTTCTCGTAAATTAGAATACTATGAGGAGCAAATGTTTAAATTTCTTAGATCTTGTACAATGTGCCATAACTGGAATACAAAAGAACTTGTGGATTGTCATAATTGTCCAAGTACCAGCTTTTGTACAAGGCATAAAAATGATACAATGCACAAAAACCTTTGTAACCTGTTAAAATTATGTTTTAAATTAAATATGGCTTCAATACTACATGAGAAAGAAATACCTGAAATAAAAAGATCGTATCATACAAAACACATAAATTTACCACCAAATATGAAATATTTTATAAAAGACTATATTGAAGCACAGAAAAGTCCCAATTTATTAATAGAAGAAGAAACAATAATTAATGCAGAACTTCTTACAAGACCTTTAACATTTCTTTATGCTGCACAAAAGTTAGGATATTTTTTAAAGAAAAAAGATATTATTATTCACATTATTGCAGCTAATGCAGTAGAAATCAATGGTATAGAACTTTGGGAAATTCTGTTGCATTGGCTACCAAATGTAACAGTAGCAACAATTATATTATTAGGACCTGAATTGTCTCCAGGTTCTATATCAATAAACCTTTGTAAAAATTGTCAGTGTAGCAGCAAGCAACTTGAAATTCAAATGCAAGACACACTTTATGAAAATTATATTGAATGTGATTCCTACATGAAACCAAACTTTATTATTGGGTACAATGCAGGAATTCATGAGTGTGAAGATATTAAATCTCAGAATGATACATGGACACATTCTCTGCAAATGATAGCTAGACAAAATTGCCCACTTATTCTAACATCTTACACGTTATCTGAAGCAGAGAAAGAGCAAATCAGAGTCCAAGAAATTTTGGGTAGAGATGTAAAGTGTACATACTTTGAACAAAATCCCTATTCTAGCATAAGGCCGTACAGAGATTTTGAAACTGAAGGAGTATACTATCAGAATCAGTACATAATTATTTATGAGAATTTTATGGCACAATAATGACTATTAATTACAATGAGATACTCTTACAATTTTATAATAATGCATTTAGCAAACAGAAAGACTTTTTACACTTTGTAATAAATTTGATATGTGTTTACAACGTTTATATAAATATACTGTTAAACAAATAACAAAATATGCCAATTTCTATCGAATTTCGCGATTTCTGACCAAGGATTAAATTCTTAAAATCCTTATCCTCTCTTTCACATTTGAGATATTTAATTTTGCGTTTATTTGTTTCTTTTCGGAAATGTTTTTATGATTCCAGTTTAGATCGATTGTGGCCTTGTGCGACAAAGGTCTTAACAGTGCACTTGAATTCGCGTACACCTAATAGCTAACGTCATGCACGTAAATGCTTTTGTTTATGCTTCTATTGTCAGTACTCCAAATACCATAAAGGCATAATTACTTATATTTATACAAGATTCATTAAAGTATCGGACGGTGTAATAACAATGGCAGAAATCGAGTGGCCGTGGCAGTACAGTTTCCCTCCTTTTTTTACGTGAGTGTCAATAGGTTACGTCAATTGTATATTTTCGATTATTATTTCAACACGAGCATTGATCTTTAAATTTATTCATAAAAATTTAATTAATAAAAAATGATGATAGTGGTAATAATATGCGTGATAAATGATATTGAGGTTAAACATGATTATGATCATCGACAATGTATAAATTAGCACCGTGTTTAAATCGTCTAATGTTATTGTTCGTTCTGTTATTTATACATTTTTTCAGCTTGCAACCCCATACTGATACTAGAGCTAAACAATTAGCAGCATGGAAAAGTTTAATTCTAGAATATCATCGTATCACGAAACAATTTATTATAGACATACGAGAAGTACATTCGAGCCCGTTATTCAATAACTCCGCAATTAATCGTATCCTTCGTATAAAAATAATTTAGCAAAATTATAAATATAGCGAATATGAATGTGAATAATCTTGGTTAGAAAATTATTCCTTAATATATGCATAAAAGGGAAATTACCTTCAGAGGTTGTTTTACTAGCATTAGAAGAATTAGCAAAATCAGGGAATGCAAGTCCATTAGATAAGTCCAGACAAAGATGGCTAGTTTATTGGCATACTTTAGAAGAATGGGGTGAAATGATCTATAATTGGGCACAGGATAATGGATTTGCCGGCTCTGTATGTACATTTTTTGAATTAACACAAGGAGAGGATACAGTGAATGAAGGTATGTGCTTGATTGAAAATTGAAGGATCAAAGAAATATGCTTGAAAAAAATAGGTCAGCATTTAGGAATAATGTTTTCTTTTTATAGAATTTCATGGACTTGACACAGAAGTGTTAATCAGAGCTCTTAGAACACTAGAAGCAAATAAAAAAGCAGAGCTGATTTTATTTGATGATAATCAAGGTGTTAAGTTCTTCTAAATGTACAATTATACAGGAAAACTGTTTTGGAAATGTAAATATAAATATTTGCTGCTACAAGTGGTGTATTCAGGATGAAGGAAGGTCAGTTTCTATGTTTTTAAAGAACTTAAGTAATAATGAATGTTAAGACACTTGTGAATTAAAGTATGCATAAAGTTTAATCACAAAATTAATTAAAAAAGTACATTTCTATATATGTTTACAAGCGATTTCTTGAGACTTATATTAATAAAATCTGTGTAATAAATACTACGTATGTACAAAAATGAAATATGCAAAAACAATATTCAATATAATTTTTTTTTATATTTGCTGTATTCAATAAATATATGGAATGTTTTAATATTATGAGTTACGTAATACAGTAGTGCCCGCATAGGTGGCCGCGTTACTTGAAATTAAAGTCGAGCGTTACTTGACGCCGATCGTTATCGATACATTGTATGTACGATTTCGAGTGCCATCTATCTTTCCTCATTTTCGTTGAACTCTGAGAAGTAACTATGCCCACATAAATGACCACGACCGGTCAATTATGCGGGCACTGCTGTAGTTTGATTTTATACATTAAAACATTTGTAATAAAGCATTACAACGAAAGAAAACAAAGAACAATATATTTAAACATATTTGTGAGAATCGAAATGAATGCATATTGTCTTTTAAAGTACATTAGTGCTTAACCGTTTTCCTTTAAATCTCTACATAAGTATCTTGCTAATAACGTCATTTAACAATTATATAAATATGCATAGATCACTATGTGAAAAGATCTGCACCCAGCATGAGTATACATTAGTACAAATAATTGACTATAAAGTACAAAACATATAAACACTGTAAAATTGTGTTTACGTAATATCATGGCAAACTTGTATTAACAGGAAATACAGCCATATTATGCGTCGGCTTTCCTTACTCTGGCTAGTTCGATCGTTTCTTCTTGGAAAGTTGTAGCTACTTCAAGTTCTTTCCTGCTCATATGCTCGACGACGTAAGCGCCAAGTGCGTCGCATATAACGTTTACTGTTGTTCGGAAACGATCCCTGAAAATGCATTGAACGATAATAATAGTGGGCAACGAATAAAATTTAGCTGGAGTGACGGTTGTTCTTTTAACCCCTTCCTGTGCTTTATCGAGTCTGATCACGATTCAGAGTCGGTCACGATTCTTATAATCTCCGTTGCAAAGCAGTTTAGTATCAGTCTGGTTTGGGCCCGGATTTCGTCGAGGTAAATGGCACGGGAAGGGGTTAATTAGAAGATCAATCGAGTGTAGTGATCCTTGTTTATAATAGTATACTTACAAGAGCCAATCGACCGCAATGATCAGTGTCACATCTTCAGCCGGTAAACCTACCGTGTCCAAAACCATAACCATTGTAACAAGACCAGCTTGTGGGATGCCAGCAGCCCCTATACTCGCTGCAGTAGCTGTTATACTGCAAACATATATTACATTTGTAATTGTTATTACAATTGATACTTTAAATCGATAACTCACCTAATACCAATAACATTGCCGAGAGACAATGGGACTTTTCTAACTTGAGCTATAAAAATCGCGGCAATGGCTTCGTACAACGCCGTTCCATCCATATTGATAGTGGCCCCAATTGGAACGACGAATCTTGTGATTCTGGGATCTACACCAATATTGTCTAAACACTGTATCGTTACTGGCAGGGTAGCTGTGCTGTATACACAAAAATATGTCGATCATGCATATTTTTATTAAAGTTATAAATAAGACTAAAATTCGTCCAATTAACCTTGATGAAGTACCAAACGCTGTGGCTAGGACTTGACCCATCTTTCCAAGCAATCTAAACGGCAATTCTCTGGTGCAAATGAAGAATATAACGGAAAGAGTTCCGCAACCATGGATGATCAAACCTAGTAATACCGTGACGAAGTATAAACCTAATTGCCCTACGATAGCACCAATATCTTCGATCTCTAAAAGTTTCGAGGCAACAAGGAAGAACACACCAATCGGGGAGACCCTATGAACAAAATAATTGTTACATAAATCACGTGGTAGTTGATTAAATAATTACTACTGCAGTTCATGGTTCTGTACCAGATGACCCATTTAGTGATAAGCATCGATGCTTCGGATAACGTCTCGAAAAACGATAGAAGAGGTTTTCCAGCTTCTCCCATTTTACTAAGTGCTATACCGAATACAATTCCGAAGATAACTAAACCTAGAGTGTTTGTACCATCTCCATATTTATGAGATATGTCCCAGTCGCGTATATCGTTTACTGGAACAGAGAAACATCGAATTATTTGGACATAATTATTAATATCATTAAATAGATTCAAATGTGATATTTACCGCCTGTTGTATTTTCAGGCTCCACTAATATCGTACGATACTGCAATAAAATAATAATTAATTAAATACATGAAATAATATGTACACAGAACGAAAGATTATATTGCGGTTGTACATACTTGAGCGATGCAGGCTTGTACAAGATTCGGAGGAAATACATTTCTATGGAGAACAGATCAATTCCGTAAGAAAATAATAATTGATCGGAGGAAGAGATTTATTTATTGATCGTATACCTGACTAGATCTAATAATGTGTCTACAGTTGTAACATTCCTAGGCGGTTTCACCTTATCGCTTGTAGTTAAACCATGCGAGCTAAACTCCCCAGGTTTAATAATGAGAACCAATATTATACCGAGAATCACAGCAGATATCGTCGTCGATGCATAATAATAAATCGATCGTATACCGATTTTTCCTACGAACGAAACATATATCAAAATTAGAGTCAAGAGTCTCTCTTTAATTATAATGTTCTTCGTAGTCGTTATAATATAAAGAAAATTTTGTTTACTATATAGTGGTTCGAGAAGATTGAATTTGAAATGTATATGATCTGGATTGTTTGCGACAGCGAGCGAAACCGTACCAGAAAATACCAGTACCGTGTGCGCTGCCAAACGATCTGTATATACGTAAACAAGTTTGCACGCCTACGCGGCTCGCTCATCGTGAATTATCAGATATATTCTATGATACTTCTGACTGAAGCTGTGTACATAGATAATCATTACCGGATAAATTCAGATCCAAACCACCGATCGCGCTAACAATGCTAGCGACGATCAATGGCAAAATGAGGGCCTTCAGCATCCTGAGAAAAATATCTCCTGGAAACTGGATGTACATTATCTCGCGCTTCGTCCATGGCTCGTCCCTAGAATGCCTTAGAATGAATCCAAGAATAACACCGGCCACAACACCGAGCACCGTCAACAGCGTTAGCATGTTCTCCGACATGCAATTCCTGAATTTCTTTGGATGCGCCATGCTGTCACCGTGCTTATCCTGAAAACAGGATTTCTATACGTCTCTGTTTGCCCTCCGCTTATACTGGACTGAATCGAATACAATAACGCAAAAAGTATTCTAAAAGTGAGATATTAAAAATGCAACCGACACACGAAGCCTTTTGGCTGATAAATTAAACTGTATGTAATAATAACTTTAAATTCTGTTACACGTACAAGGTCCAAGGACCGACGTAAAAGCTCATCTTCTGGATACGATGATAGTTCCTGGTATTCTATGTATGAAAAGAGTTTACTGTATGTTCATACTGTATGTTTATACTGGCGATTCGCAGAAACGTATTGCGTAAACTTTTCTTCCGATATGATAATGAAATATAGCTTTCGGGCAGCGTGCACGAAGTGGACAGTATTTATAATTCGAGAGGCGTCGTAGCAATTATATTTTATTATCTTTTCATGATCGCTGTCCGACGACACGCTCGCGTTATTCTTTACGATCGTAAATGATTTTAAAAACATTCGCAGATGCGGGGGACCGTGATAAAAACGACACGTGGGTGTACAGCAATTACGAACAAATTCGAAACATTACCATGTGCTTCGTCGCCGTAATCTCGAAAGCTACGAAAATTTGTCACGATTCACGCGGGCAAATAGACCGATCAATTACGCTAGTGAGCATTTCTGAGCGAGCGACGACGGTCATCGAACCTGATACCTGACTTCAATACGCTGTTTACATTTCACGAGATTATCGTATCGATAAATTATCAATGCGTTCGTGTCTTCTTTTTTATTTTTAATGTGCATTTTTTTAATGCATTTTTAACTCTTTAATGGGAATAAGATGTACCGGGAAACTTGCGATAGCGTAGATTTTTTCTTCCTTTGCGGTCATTTGTTATTAATTGGAAATGTTATTAGGTTAGATTAGTATATCGCGTATACTATAACGGTACGTTCTATGCGTGTACTCTCTTTAAAAAGATTTATCGCTCGAGGGAGGTAAAAGTCAATAGCCAAAACATAACGTGAAGTTTAGTATCAATGTGCAGTCTGTCTACAGAGTAAACAATTTTTACTTTTAACGAAATGCATTTTTACAATTTTCGTGGCATTAAAACTTTCTGTCACTATTGAGATATCTTTGTTAAATGTTTCGAGATATTTCAACGATATCTTTGATTTATCCTTGACAGTAAGCCTTGCAGAATATTCTCTGATTGGAATGTAGCTGCTAAGCATATAGTTATCCACATAATTGCAAAAGTGTGCAGGAAAAACAATCTGTACGGTGCGTTACGAGGCTCGCTCGTCTCGCATACTAATTGACAATGACATGATGCATAATATAAATCTATTATATAACACAATATGATAATGAAATATTTATATATGGTAATTGTTTATTCAAACAAAGGTTGCAACGATTCCCATGTAATAATTCATCGCCTATCACCTTGAGCAATTCACTACAGAAACCAACATGGAGTTTCCTAATTTCAACGACACTCGATGTCAGACGCGTCCCAAAATCAGTATCGGTAAAAATTCGATTTGCCAAATATTGATCTTGGATTCGAGTGAACCTAAAAAAATATTTATGCTAAAAAGATCCAAGGCGTTGATTAATTACCAAAATAATTTATGGAATTAAAAGTATAGAATAAACTGCAATTATTCTGTCTCTGCTGTGTATACATGTATATCTCGCAGAAACTGGTATTAACCGGTTTGAACTGTCCTGGAAATCTGCCTTTACGTTCCATCCGCCAACAAAATTGTACACTGCAGAAAAATTTGCCATTATCTCGCCGCCCAGACGGCGATGATTTTCGTACCGTGTTTTACGCCTATCGAAACAAAATAAAGAAAAAGAAAAAAAATTTAGAGATGCAAAAAACGCGATCGCCGTTCTTTTATTGGTGGACCTGTCTCACGGACTCCTCTCCACGAGGGCAAACGAAAGTGGGGCCAAATAAGATACAAACGCGCGTGCCAGTCTCGTTTGAATCGCAGACAGCAAAAGTAGCGTGTTCTATAAAAGACGCGCGGCTTCGCGAAACTTTCGAACGAATTCGAGCTGTCTGCCTAATCGCAATTAATAATTATAATCGCTGTCATGAGCATGTCAAGATATACACGGCAAACACGCAGATAAAATATACGACCGTTCTCGTACACAGAAAATATCGTGCGAAATGTCACTTCGAGATACGGTGACATACATTGGACGAAATTTCGCAACAAAGTAACGCTTCGAATTAATGCTTTTGCAGAGACGTTATTCTCCTCGGTGCAAAAATTGTACCCGGTCGACCGTTCTAGAGCAAAAAGTCCGGTTAGTCATAGAGTTGCGCGAGCTGTTTGAATTTCTCTCTTGTGCACGTGTATCGCCGTAGAAAGACACGAGATACGCAGTTCATTAAACCGTTCGTCCCTTCTCGCCAACACTACAATAATAGACAATAAGAAAACTCCGTTAACCGCATCGTTCGTTCAAAGATCATAATTATCGACGGGGCAAAGATAAACGACCAGATAGACAATATCTGCCTTATTTATTATAAAAGTAATCGGGGCCCTTTATATCGGAATACATGTACGATGCACTGATTTCCCTGATCCTGTTTATTCACCCTTCGCGAATAAATAATTTATTCGATTTCCATTTTAAGATCGACGTGTCACTTCGAACGCGCGGTTTCGTTCAAATATTCGCGTCATGTTTGGCAAGATAAAAAAAAAATAATGCACTTACCTGTCGATTTGGATATTGTTCGCGATTGCCTGCCCGTGGAAGACTCCTCGACCGCAACAATGCGATTCTCCTTCGATCGAGTTACGCCGTGTGCTTACTGATTTTTTTTTCTATCGGGATGCTGAACACGTCCCGTTTCGGTTTACAGTGCGCGAAAAGTCGATCTTCCCGCGAATGCAATCGTCGTACTGTTGGCGCGCTTCGTTCTCGTGGAGTGCCGGCTGGGCCATGAGAGCGGAGGCCCTTCGTCGCGTGGATGCAACATGTGTGCGTCAGAGATCAAGTATCTCCCTCCCTCTTCATTACCCTTTCGCCAACATTCTATTTCTCTCTGTTCTTTGTCGTTCCTTTGCCCCCTTTCACCGAACTCCCGGTACACGGTCCTCCCTCCTCGTTGTTTTTCTTGTGTATCTTTGCACATGTAGCTCGGGGATCCTACAATGTACGCGTGACTGCGCGCGCACAAACATACACGCGGTTTACGAAACCCCGCGTGTGCATACCCCGATCGACGCGTATTCGAAACTTGAATGAACGGTTATGCCATATACGGTGGGTCACTTCAGTAATCAGCACGTACTTGATATTTTAAAACACAATCGTTACGAAACAGTGGTTACTGTACTGAAGAAACCATTCACGATAAGACCGCCATTCGCTTAGCAGATACTCACTTCGTTCGATATCTTGACCGATTTCTGTAAACGCGTTGCCACATCCCGAATGTTTAAAACTGGTCGAAATAAATTTTACTTAAATAGCATCGTGTATCTTTGATATTTTACAGATGCACCGTACGCGAATGTACTTTTTCTAATTTTAAAGAATATTCGCTGATTACTTGTTTCCTTGTTAAAAGACACCGGTAACGAAATTATGTAATAAAAGTGAAACGAACTGTGTACGCAACACGCCGTCAGTCCATGGACGATGATTTAATTAATGAACAATTTACAAAAATTAGTGTGAGAATTACTTGACCGCTAGGGACAATATTTGTATAATTGGATTGAGGTCAGTCACGTGGTTGTTTTAATTATTCTGCCTCCTCCCACCTCCCTTCCCTCCCACCCTTCCCGTATATTCGGCTAAATTTGTCTCACTCTTTTTGCCATGCGAGAATAAAATGAAGAAACGCATGGATGTTTCTCGCAATAACGCATTTACGTCTAGCGTTTGTTCAATTCGTTTATACTATTATATTTAGACAAAATTTAATGTAAGTATTCGTCGAATTTAAATATAATATTCTATTTCTTCTAAATAGAACTCAAGATGTTTTTAAAACTGAAAGCATGCATATTAATAAAACGTTTCGACTGGTACATGAAATGAATACAAAAATTATTAGTTACAAACTTTATTTATGAATTGACAGTACGTGTTTTATATATTAAAAGTAAATCAAAGTCAACTAATACTAAAACATAAGAATTAGTTTCGAGCAATACTGATAAAATAACGTTGTAAAAAATATAATTAGAGAGCAAAGTCTGAATGAAGTTATGTATACAATAAATGCAATACATGATGCAAATCTAATTAATATAAACATCTTGTGGCAAAGTACATAATAAACGCGGAATTTGACACTTAGTAATGGAATCTCTAATTAATATCCATATCGTTATTGAACTTAAAACTTAAAAACATACTTGCTTTTAATACATCATTCTTGTTAAACATAAGGAATGATATTCTATATGCAGAATTAAAGTATACCTTAACAATTAACGAAGATTAGCACATTCGTGCAAGGCACTGTAATCACAAAATCATGGGGGCTTTTCCTTATTCGATAAATTCCGAATGGAATGGTCAATTCCATTTCGGATGTATGACTTTTAGAAAAACACTAGAATATTTCAATGTTTTCGCTTCTGTTACATCGAATGAAATACCAAGTTGTTGTGGTAATTCGAAAATTAAGAACTATGTAAACTGCAATTAAGAACTAAGGCACTATATAGACATATATACAGAATATTTGCTATTATGAATGACTTGCTAACAATGAAAACGGAATGCCACCATTCATGTTGTAATGAAGAATTCAAGAAACAAAGCTTGCTATTATGTCTTTTAGATTTACCAGATGCAATATGTATGTATATAATACTAATTTCGGTACTACAATACCAATTTTTTTTAAGTCAATAGGATGGTTTGCTGTGATAGTTGAACTGTTCTATGAATATTAACAATGATCTGAAACATTATTTACAAATTGGTACAGTGATATTAAAGACATTTATTCTCTGGCGGTGGAGATGTTATTTTTCTCTTAAAGAGTAAAATGTGTGGCTCTGAAACAAACAAATATTTTTGTTCAAAATATCTCTTTGCATCGAATAACCTTTTTTTTTAATTCATTTCTTTAAAGATATTTTCTTTTAATACGAATGCTTTAACATCGAGTACAAATCACTGCGATCGAACTTAGGTAATATCAAAAGAATGATAGCATACCTGGTTTATGAATCATATAATGTACCCATCCTTGACTTTGTTGAACACCAATAGCTCTCCACTCTTGTTCAGAGAGCAGATGAGTACTTGACACAAACTTCACCAACTCCTTGGGCAATACCACGTGCCTAATAAAACATATACATAGATGTAATTATCAGCTCAACATCTTTTTTATCCCTTATTTGAAATGTGAAATTCTATATGCTTCTAAATGAATTAGATACACTTTAAGAAAGTAGCAATAACAAAGAAGGTATAGATCGTATTTGTAGATATCTATTAAAATAAACGTATCTTAAAGAAATAGTAAATTTTTCTATCAAGAAAATATTTCAACATGAAATTGCAAAATTTTATGTCATTCTTAGCAGCACTTAATATTGTCTTCCCCTACCAACATCTATTCTTTGTTACGTAGCTATTGTTCGGATGCTGGAAGACACGATTCCCGAATTTTCCTTCTAATTTGAATACGCAAATACGAGGCCTATAGTCAAATCGTTGCAAGAGTATCGTAGTAATGTGTTATCATGTAATAAATCGATACGTTGGAATAATTAAGAATGATGGGTTAGTAAAGCAAACAAAAGAATAAGCTAGACGGCCATTTAAATGGTATGTCACATCTGTACCCAAATGATGAACAAAGAAATTACTAATAAAACAGATAAAACGAGAGGAAGTAAATTTTTTGATGAACGAAAACTTTATGTCACAGCCATGAATACACGTGCAGAAATTACGTTTATACGTCTCTATAAACCGTATATATTAGCACAATTGATCAAAACCAAAACCTATATCGAACATTACACACGCTACCGTTATTTTTACCAACCTGTACTCGTATTTGTCGTCATAGTATTTTTTCGAATAATAGATATCATTCGACATCGTGGTTCATTTAACAGTTATCACAGACCTTCGAAATCTATCGTAGACTCACTGAACACAACAAAAATCAACCGTGAATTTTCGAAAACCTTCTTCCAACAACGTATGCTCTCTAATTTGAAAGTTTAACGGATGTCGCGTCAAGAAGAGAGGAGGAAAGTACTCTTCGATCGTTGATAGTCAATATTAAAAAATCCTTACAAAAAATAGATAGGATAATAAAATAATCTCTGTAAATTTATTATTCCCTTGGGAAAATAATTAAATTCTGATTGTTCCTTGTATTATATTAATTTATTGTATACAAACGGAAATTTGCACGTAGTAAACCGGAATCAGCTGTCTGTATTGGTCTGAATTTAACAATGGCGGATATTACTGCGTCGTAGCGTTGTCTTGTTTGAGGTTAGGTGTCATAAAAATATAGGGCAGGGTGTTCTGTGTAAAATGATATAATAAATGCATATAAATTAACAATGGATAAGTATTCTCATAGGAGAGACTATGAGAGGTCAAGAAAAGACTATAAAGATCACGAAAGATATAAAGACAGAATTTCACGTAGGGTTACTGACAGTGATTATGAAAGTCGGTCCAGAAGTTCAAAATCAAGGCATAAACACTCCAAAAGTTCTAATGAAAAGTATAAAAAGTCCAGGCATAGAGAATCCTCCGATTCATACGAATCTCACAAAAAATCTTCGAAACGTAAAAACAAAAAGAGGTAAGGGACATTAAATATTTTTGAGGTTATATATTACTAATCTTCTATTTTTTAATTTCAGATCATCGTCGTCGTCGTCAGTGTCTTCTTCAAATTCAAGCGAATCTAGTACCTCATCCTCGTCTGATTCTTCCTCAGATTCTACAAAGCTTTTAGAGAAACTTCAAAAGCAACGTCAGAAACAAATTGAAGACAAGAAACGTCAAAAAGAACTAATGAAAGCAACAGAAACTCCGGAAGAAAAGAGATTACGTCGCTTAAAGAAGAAAGAAGCTAAAGAACGTAAACGTAAAGAAAGAATGGGTTGGGATAACGATTACTTACATTATACGAATACAGATAATCCGTTCGGCGATGGAAATTTGCTGTCCACGTTTGTATGGTCTAAGAAACTTGAAAAGGAAGGTTTACTAGGTGTTAGTAGAGAAGCATTAGAAATTAGAAATAGGCATAAACAAGAGGAGAATAAAAGAGAGTTAGAGAAAGTTAAGAAAAGGAGACAGGAAAGAGAATTAGAAAGGCAACAGAGGGAAGAAGAAATGACATTGTTGCAAAGAGGAAAAGAAGCTGCCCAGTTGGAACAATGGGCAAGGCAAGAAGACCAATTTCATTTAGAGCAAGCAAGATTAAGGTCTCGTATTAGAATACAGGATGGTCGCGCGAAACCAATCGATCTTCTAGCAAAATATATCAGCGCGGAAGAAGAAGTCGATGCTGTAGAAATGCACGAACCTTATACTTATTTACGCGGATTGCACGTGAAAGATTTAGAAGATCTTATCGAAGATATTAAAGTTTACAAAGAATTGGAACGCGGCAAAAACTTAGATTATTGGAACGATATTACTGTAATAGTTGAAGATGAATTACATAAATTGAGAAAATTAGAAAGATCAGAGTATGAAGTGGCTGTTGGTAGAAGAGAAGGAATACACGAATCAGTAGCTAAAGATGTAACTGCTATTTTCAAAGGAAAAACGGCAGCACAATTGGAAGCTTTACAGCTACAAATTGAAGCAAAAATTACAGGGAAGCCTGAAGGTGTTGACATAGGATATTGGGAAAGTCTTTTGTCGCAGTTAAAAGCGCATATGGCTAGAGCACGGTTGAGAGATCGACATCAAGAGAATTTGCGGAAAAAGTTGGAAGTCTTGATCGCCGAACAAGGCGTGGCTAGAACGGAGAATGAACCTGAGACTTCGCAAGCGCACAATGAAGCAACTGGTGAACAGTCGGAGAAACCAGATGAACCGTCTACCAATACAGCTACGGAGAAAAGCGAAGATAGTCAATCGGACGACGATCAAGAAGTTACTAACGCGGCTGACGACCTATTGTCTGAATCTTTCTGTGAATATGAATCGGGAGGATATTCTCCAAAATATATACTTTATTCTCAACTTGAGCCAGGAACTCTAGTCACTTTAGAAGAAGATGATAATCAGAGATTAGAGTATGCGAGAAATCAAGTGCTTAGTACTGGACGAAAAATTCAGAACGTAATGACCGCGGAAGAGCAAGCTATGCACAGAGAAGCACGTAAAAATATGGGTTCCGACGAGGCACAATTCAGCGTTGAATCGTCTTTAGAGGCGCAGATTTATTTGTGGTCTGACAAGTATAGACCCAGGAAACCAAGATATTTCAATCGCGTGCATACTGGTTTTGAGTGGAATAAATATAATCAAACGCATTACGACATGGACAATCCACCACCGAAAATTGTCCAAGGTTACAAATTTAACATATTTTATCCGGATCTGATCGACAAAAACACAACGCCCGAGTACTTTTTGGTAAGACAAATTTAAAATTAATTATATTAATATGTAACGGTTTAAAAGTATGTTATTAATAAATATTTATTTAATTCTCAGACGCCTTGCTCCGATAACAAAGACTTTGCAATATTGCGATTTCACGCTGGACCGCCTTACGAAGATATCGCATTTAAGATCGTTAACAGGGAATGGGAATACTCGTATAAACGTGGATTTAGATGCCAGTTCCATAACAACATTTTTCAGTTATGGTTTCACTTCAAACGTTATCGATATCGTCGATAATATTATGGTACTGTGTACATTACGTATTTTTATAAACGCGTTTATAAATATATTAACTATTATTTTACTTGTATAGCGACGGTTCAAACTAAACAACCATATTTTTAACAATGTGTTTAAATAAAATTGCGCAATTTGTAGACGTAAACGCGCGAAAGTTTACTTTCTAAGTTAAACGTACCCACATGTGTGAAAATAATAAGACCATCGAGATCATTATGAAACCGGAAGTACTCGACTTTTCACTTTACCACCTGCATAAACATGAAACATAAAATCTATGACGAATTTGTTGGTATCAGTGGTATACTTTCAAGTAAATATGTTTAAATAATTTTACTTTCGTTTGATTATAATAAAACTTGAATGTATCGTAAGGAAATATTTGTTTTAGCATTTGTTTTTGGCATTGTTCTCTGTAAGAAGTTTATTTCCTGCGGTAATTCGTGACACAGTCCCCCCATTCAAAAATGTCTGACGCCGTAATACGCTTCCGTGATGACGAAACGGTATATAAACGGGGCTACGATATAGTTGTTTAATAGTAGTTGTTGGATCGATTTCGTGGCCACCTGTATTCTTCACACAGTCGACCACAATGAGAAAGGTAAAAGCTACATGTAGCCAATGGCAAGGTAAACCGAAGCTCAGTGCACCGGGTGTTTCGCCGATAAAGGGCTTACGCGTTTCAAATCGTGTTTCTTCCTACAAAACTCGCGCCAAGTAAAATCGATAGTGTGATTTTCGTCGATCGAAAGGAGCAAAATACACATTATTTTTAATAATCCCCGCAAATCGGTCGAAATAACAGTTTGCATTTGTATCTTGCATAAGTGCTCGACGAAGGAAAGGTCATGCGGATGTATATTTTATTTCGGACAGTCGTGACCTTACGTGTGTAACTTTGTACTTACGATAATTAATCGCTTGTGTATTTAGTGGTCATAATCTAATTGACGGTACATAAATTAAAAAATTATTGAATCGTAAAGTGTAACAAATGAATATTTAATAAAAAAACGTAACCGAATTGTCATCGCACGAACTAAAGGGAATCGGAAATGAAGCAGTTTCGAGAGAAGCTAAATTCAGTGAGCTGTCAGCGACAAGGAACAGTTCGAAAGTTATAGGAAAATCCGTCTGTTTAATGTGATAACCACAAATGTTGGAAAATCAATTCGTACTGATAACGGATCGAGGAAACGATGAAATTTAAGCGTATTTGACGGTTAAACGGATCTGTCACGTTTTATTCATTTCCGAATACAGTAAACGTAATCCGTGGAAAGATCTACTATGAAATTTTGAGAGTACCGAATAGTTTTCGAAATGTAAAATCGTCGTCTTTGTAGCAGTGGCACGGGGAATCGTTAGGATAAACGTTTTGTATCGTTTACTGGGCCCTATTTCCAAATTTTACACAACAAATTCTTACAACCACGGCGTGTGTCGCAAAAATCATGAAATGGAAAAAGGAACCGACAGAGATCCTGTCCGAGAAAACGTTTCTAGTTATCACGGAAGATCTGGACATATTGGAAAGTAAGTTATTATTCTTCGAATAACAAATAAAAAATACGGCGGGAGCGTTAGGTAAATTAACATATTTGTATACAACAATGAGTCCAATAGTATAATGTGCAATAATAGTTGGGATGACTAGAATAGTGTAGAGTATTAAATGAACAGATAAAGTAAATTGGGAGGGGGGTTGTTAAATTTATAATAACGTAATTGCGGCAATTATAGTCTGTAGACGGTAGCCATTTTCAAATGTAAAAGGTAGTACGAACGAAATATTCGAGTTATCAAATGCATCCTGTAAACAATAAATAAATATTCAGAAAGGGGTAAACATCGAGGAAAGTCGAAGACGCCAGACACTGGCACTTGGCCGCCAAAGTTGAAACGTGGAGTATCTCTTTACAATAACCTGGAGCGACCGAAGACCGCGAATCTCGAGAAACCGAGCGTTCTGGACCCGAATCTCGTCGACAAACTGGACATGTCTCTGCTGAGCAAAGAGTTGTTCAGCGATTCTATGACGTTGCATCGCCATTCGAAAACGATCAGTGGGGGAACGTCGTCGTTCCCTTCGTCGTCAAGGTGTCGCGAGGACGTCACTGTCAACGGACAACAACAGAGGCCAGCGTCAAACTGTGCACCAACAACGTGGTACCACGGCTTGACATCGACGCGACACAAACGACGGACGTTCGAGCAGATTCTGGACGGGAGATTCGGTCACGTCGACGTTTACGCGGAGTCGCCGAGGATGCAGAAACAGGCGCGGATCGTTGGCCAGGATGCCGCCGCGACGAAGAAGAGCATCGATAATCGGAAACTGGACGATAACAACAACGGGTTCGTGCCTACCTTGATTCGCAAATTTATAAACAATCCGCAATTTCACAGATTTACAAACCTAAGAATTCCTAGTTTTATAAATTCGCAGATTCAAGAGATTAAAATATGTAACTTTATGAATGCAAGGAATTGGATAATTCTGAAGGTTTTCTTTGTAAATTAAACAAACTTGACTCTCTATTAAATTAGAAACGGCACGATTGGCTACAAAGTGCCGTCCCTGTCTACGCTGAAGAAGAAGAGCTCAAGACCGATGATACAGAATGATCTTGAGGTGTTTACATCCACTTCCACGAGAAGCGCGCCGGAACCGTGCAAAAGTTGCGGCACGCCGAATCAACCGGAACGATTTCACAGTCATCCGAAGATCAGTCAGCAAAAGATGAAAGACAGCCCCGCGAATTCGAAGACGAAAACCCCGATACCGAAATCCGTTCAGAAGCCAGTCGCCCTGCACTTCCGTAGCGACAAGAATAAGAACAAAATCGAGGAGGTGGACGTTCAGGAAGCGAAGTCGAAATCGGATAGTTCGCAATCGTGCAGACCGTCCTCGGCGCCGGCTAAAAAGGGACCAAGGACCGTCACTTGTTACATCTGTGGCCGCGAATTCGGCACCGCCAGCTTTCCCATTCACGAGCCCAAGTGTATGCAAGTAAGTAAACAATTCAGTCGAAAGATTCTTGCAACAAATATCGTTTGCAGCGTATAAAAAAAAGGTCAGATCAGGCATTCAGAAAGGATCACAAAAGTATTGAAAAGGGCAGCAAATTTGATACAATAAAAGCACATTTTTTTTCAGAAAGCAAAATTGAGATTGCACTGCAGAGAAATAAATTAAATATCGAGGATAAAAACAACTCACGGGACGAAAATAATTCGTACAGGATAGATTCTAATTTTATATTGAACTTGAACTGCGTTATTCATACACTCCGATGGTGTTGAGCGCGATGGATATGTATATTATTGAATTTCCTTGTCTGGAAACATGCAATACGTCAAGGCCCTTTGTTGAATCGATACGGATATACGTGCACCACGTATATCGTTGGAGTTGATATCGAAAACGTTTACGTGCATATGAACCGGCACTTCGTACTATCTCGTCGTGGTTGAGCACTGTACGAGGTGATCAATGCTATGTAATTTACACGCGAATCGCAGTTCATATACACTCGGTTCGATACTTCCTCGCACAATGCCAACGGTCGTATTCATATTCGCGAAACGAACATTAATTACGGTCGTTATGCTATTTTGCCACGAATTGGATGCATCGTAAGCCAAAAGGCCTAATTTCATCAATAGTTTAATAAGAATTTTCATCATAGTCTTAATTTCTTTGAGAATTCTGTTTATTTTTCATCGATAATGCACAGAGTTGTTACTCGAATATTAACGAATATCGTACTCGCAGAAGTGGGAGCGAGAAAATAACTCTTTGCCCGCGAACCAAAGACGCCCGCCACCTCAAAGGCCCGACTCCGCGATCGATCGATCGAAATGGAACGCAGCGGCATGGGAAGAAAGTCAGGTATCTTCCTGTTATGTGAACGTCTCTTCAAACATGTAAATCGCGTCTATAGCCTTACGTGACCAAGGGCAGTACATTTCAACCAATTTCTTATCTTCGCGTAATATTTTACTCGCGCTCGTGTAATCGTCACAGCCAGAATCATTTGCATTGTCTAGCACTTCCGTATTCGCTGATATAGACGAATGTATTCCAATAAGAATGAGTCACTCCGCTAAGTTCATCGGAGCTGACGGAGACCTCTCCTATATTGGCGATGATGTAATGGAATTATGAAATACCACGGGTGAATTCGAACAACGATGCATAATGGACTCGAATGCATACGTACGTATATGCATTTGGGTCGAATATTCGAGCCAGACGCGCGGAAAAAAAATAATTGGCAGTCAACTGGACGAATGGTTGCTTTTACCACCCTAATTTCGTTACATATCTCCTCATCAAACCCTTTTGTACACGTATACCGAGCTAGTTCGTTGGAAATGGTAAATCGTTGTCGTAACCATTTCATTGATTACCATCACGACATGATTAAATAGTCAGGAGAAAGCCATTTCCTCAACGTTGCTCTTTTCTGCTTGTAGAGTTTATTCCTGATAGAAATTGGTATAACGATGCCATAGGAACAACTCTGACGTCTTTACTTTATCTCTATACCTATAAAAATGATATCTGTATAATAGCTATGCTCTTCAATGATCGAAATTTCTACAAATACAGCGATAGCGTACGCGTTAAGCCAAAGTACAAAAGTTTCTATACGCAGAAATTTATCTTGAGCGATTGCAAACAAGATATCTCGCAATGACTGGTGCAACCGAGAGTATGATTCTACGTGGAGAAATTAAACGTAAACGAGCTTGTTCGTAATATTCAGAGGTGTTAATGATACTAAGCGTGTACAATGAACTTTGCCCGGTTTACTTCTAAACGCGAAGTTGCGTGCAGAGCGATGTGCAAAGTTCAGATTTACCATTTGAACCATTTAGAAGCGAATTTGATTCCGCGTTTTGGATTCATTATTACACGTCGAGTCCAGCTCTTTTTAGTTGCATCATTCGTTGCAAGATCTCGCGTACGATCACGAGTTCTTTTCAATGCGTAGTTGTTATACGACTCTTTGAAGTTCACCCTTGCACGTTTCGCACGCATACGCAAAAATACAAATAGGAATAACAAGTAGGAACTTACGAGGTCTCCGGTTCCGTACAGAGAACATGTCACGCACTATAATCCCCCGTGCCCTATCGTGTTCAAGGTGCTGGCCCACATTTATCACGCACATTTACCTCCATAATACCAACGGCATGTTTGATCTAAAAACTAAGAACCGCATTGCGACTCATTAAATTCGACATTAAAGAGGAACTTTACCTTCGACTTCATCTTTTCGCTTTAAGCTGATCGATCTCGGCCGGCTAGATACGATCATAATGATCATTTGTACATTTTTAATACGCCATTGTTCAGTTTTAGCCGAGGGGAACAAAAATATTGAATCGACGTTAGTTTAATTATTATTAGTTTTTATATTTGTTATTATGTTCGATTGTATAATTACCGGGGTAAATGATCCAACGAGAATACTACCTGTTACTCTTACCGTCAACTTGTTGCTAAGTGATCATCTCTTCCGCTCATTAACGCAATACAACGAACATGGTTCGCGTGCAAGAATCGAGGTTCTACTGTAAGCCAAGATAGACTCTCATTCAAAAACTTTGTTACTTGTAGTTTATACATATAACATTATAAGTAGAGTGTGAATGTAATACGACCATATTGAAATCATTTATTAACTTAACTAACCGACGATTAATCTGTCAACCGGGATGTTACAACGACAAACGAGTTAACTTGCCCATAGCGAATGCAAATTTTAATTTATTTTTAATACAAATTTGCGAGTTAGCTAGTTTTAACCGGTTAACAGATTAACGCGAACTCGAAACACAGAACGAGATAATTGTTCGAAATTATACTCTTCCAGGCGCAATTGGTCCCGTGTTCCAAATGTGGAAGAACGTTCCTTCCGGAACGGCTGCCGATACATCAGAAAAGTTGCAAAGCTCCGCCAAAGGTGAACCAGCTGCATGAAATTCGCTATTTGAATCGATAGAACGTCGATTATTCGGATAAATGCAATACTTCGGAGAAACAAAATTAATAACGCTATTTGATGAAAGTTTTGACATAATATTTGATTACTCGTATTGCGAGCATTTAGTAATCGGGAAAGGTTATCGCGCGAGGTTGGTCAGTGCATCATTGATTAATTCTGAAATCAATTCTAATTACGGTATAATACGAATTAAATTTCTGCGGAGACTTTCTTTTCAATTTTATAATTATTGTCCGAGTAAGCGATGTTCGATCGTACGCTGTTGCGTAAAAATAAGTTCAACGTTCGATCGACAGAATCCTGAGACGGAGAGGTCGGAAAACTCTGTTCCGGAAAAGCCAGCGAGCACGTCGCGATCCGGACCGCCGACGATCGCATGCCAGAGTTGTGGCAGAAACTTTGGCACGAAAAGTATTAAGATACACGAACCTCAGTGCATAAAACGATCTCAAATCGAGAACGATAGGCAACCGCGAAGAAAAGACTCGACCGCCCAGCGGAAGTTGGGGTCGACGAGCGTGCAAGAAATCTCAGTCAGCCCAACAGGGGTGAGTCGCGTTGGAAAGCATGCTTATATCCTCCAGTTTGTGTGAGGCCATTTCCGCTATGTAAATTCTCGTTGATTCTCGTACTTAACCCAGACCTTTGAACTTTATCCAACGATATGATCATAGGGCGATATAAATTTTATTGATTATTGATAACCACGAATAAATAACTGTGCCGTTTGTACCCGAGTGTCGTTGATTTGGGGGATGGAGCGAATAGTTTGCGGGACAGTCATTTGGAGGCGATTGGTTTTAGGAGCAACAGAAGAAGACGGTTACATGCTACATATGTGGCAGAGATTTTGGATCCACTAGCATAGCTATTCACGAGCCACAGTGTCTGAAAAAGTGGCACGTGGAGAACGAGAAATTGCCATCTGGCGAAAGAAGAAAAGAGCCGCAGAGGCCCGAGGTTATCTACACTTGTAAGTCGATATCTTTTTCTGCTTTAAAGAAGTTTGAGAGAAACAATGAGGACGCGTCAGTAACGTCGGACAATTCCGATTTAATTGACGCCGCAAGTTCGACGACCTTCGTGATCGATTTACTGGAATAGTTTCGTTCGACATACTTTCGATTTAAAATGCGAACGCGATATTGCCGGTTTCGCAGGAAATTAAATATTGGTCGCAATGGCCCCGCGGTCAACCAATGAACTTACGGTCAGCGTGATTATATCGATCAGAGGGTGATACCCTTGCAAACCGAAACCGGCGATCCCGTGAATCTGTCAAGTTGTTGAAATAATATTTTAGCGTAATTCTAAATAAACTGTTAATTAATAATTCGTGATTTCAACCAATCGTTTGTAATCTAAAAAAAAATATACATATAATGTGGAATTAATATATATAAGTTCTTCTTTGAATTTTATTTTTAAATATTTACGAACGTAATTGATACACAGGTGATCCAGGAACAGGAAATATGGTAGTAGATGTGATGGCAATGGCTGAGGCTAACTGGAAATCGCACTTGAATCAATTGGTTCCGTGCAAATATTGCGGGAGGACTTTTAATCCTGACCGCGTGAGCGTCCACGAACGGAGCTGTAAGGGGAATCATTGAAATTACATTGCTCAAAAGAATTATAGCCGGGCTGACCCTCTAATTATTCTGAGCAGTGTAAATAAACAGTGTGATTTTTATATCCTTCTATCGTAAAGTTGCAAATGCACACGTACACGTATATTTCGAAAGATGTGAAATTCGTTACACGCGATGGTATTCCTTATACATTGAAGAATTTACCATCTAATTTGTCGCGACTGAACTTTACATGTAATGCAAATAATTTCATCAAACTTTCTCATAAATATGTAGATTTATTTGTGTTTCTTTCCAACAGCTTTCTATAATGTTTACACTTTTAATAAGTAAGATAATTTCACAGTATAATGTGTACATAGAGAACGAATGTAATGTACGTTGCACGAACACTAGTCTCCTTAAAAATGAGTTTTACAAGAAAACGCACAACCCGTTACTATTTTCATAGTCATCGTAAAATCGTATTTAACGTGTCTTTTGTACAACCGTCTGTGTACAACAGACATAGAGTTGTGATTGTTATATCAGCGTAATATTTTGTATAAGTACATTGTCGCCTACCAAAAAATATTAAAACAACGTTTAGAGATAAATGTATCTATTTCTAATCAGTGTTCATTTCGTAACCTTCCCATTTTATCTTACAATTAATCTCTAGCGTGCCCCCTCTTCCTCCGCTATGCTGCAATTAAAAGAGATATCGATATTTTTTTATACCAAATATTTAGCGTTTAAAATAATAGTGCACGCGTAAGGTAATGAACTGCAACTTATACAATCATTGTTCTCGATAGATTTCATTTTAATATTCGTTGTGTACGCAATACCATTATTTAACATAAAAAGAAACGACAAAGGAGGTGAATCATTTTTTTTGTTCATTTTTCAATTTGAACCGTTTAGATGGCAGCACCGCACACAACAGTTGGTACAATACAATACCAACTAGATTATAACGGGATTGCATTTAAAATCGCACACAATCACCTGCAACCTGCGTGCGCAATTCAGCCACGTGGTAGGGATCACGAAATTCCAATTGGTCCTGTGCACGACACGAAATACGCGTGACAACGGGTGCCCTCTATCGTGCACGAAACGTTCGTCCCTTTCACGAAACTCGTGTTCTTTCCTAGGGAGTCCGCCATTGTTGGTGCACGTATATTTCTGACCAGGCCAACGGAAATCGGACAACATCCAAAATGGTACGTATGATCATTGCAAATTATCACGAACGTGTAGTCCCGTGCGGTGTGTGGAGTGCAGAGTTGCGAATATTTTTGAAGACCGAGCGTCACCTGGGTTCGGGAAAATTCAAAAAACTGGCGGATTACTTGGGATTGCGCAACTCCTTTCGAGGACGAATTTCGAGGCTTGCGATGGATATTGCCGGGGCAAAGACCTTTGACGGGTCTGCGAATATTCCGGCGGAAAATTCCTGACAATTTTACGTCGTGTGGGTTCAATGTTGTCGATGTTCGGAGTTCAAATATGTTTAGCCTCTCATTTGGGAGGCAACGTGTCATGGAGCTTTTGCAGGGCTCTTAATGCGAATCAGCATGCCCTCGGAACATCGTGAACCGTTGTAAAAAGCTTTTGACAATCCTTTGTACGTTGGAGATGTTACGGAATGGATCCACGATCATTATTTAACAGAAAAATACATCGTGTACTTCGCACGGTGTATGGTAGAGAATGAGGAAGTTGTAAAGTTCTAGGGTCAGGAATTATTCCAGTACGAAAACGTACGGACGCTGTGCGAAGAAAAATGTCCACATGGAAAGATGCTATTTCCTTTTGTTGTAAATTAATAAGATATACGTGTCCGTAGTATTTATCAAGATTTGCGAAGCTTTAATTCCAATATGGTCAGTATTAAGATTACTAAACTTTTTTTTTTTTATACAAATAAAAATTTTTTTACGAGTTTAAGTTTCCCTATTCTGGAGAAATGTTAAGTGTGCACAACATATCATTGAATTGATGTTGAATTTTTGTGAAGTTTTTAATTATTACCACACATTGTTTTGACTTTGTGCAAGTTTTGTGATAATATTATGTGTAATGTAATCAAATTGTTTAATACAACAGATCCAAATTATTGTATCTTTCCTGGTATATTTTTTATGACTAAATTTATATAAATATATCCTGTATTAATAAAAATGCTTTTTGTTTCAGGTGAACTTCACAGTGGACGAGATACGTACCATGATGGACAAAAAGAAAAACATCAGAAATATGTCTGTCATTGCACACGTCGATCATGGAAAGTCAACTTTGACAGACTCCCTTGTGTCCAAAGCCGGTATTATTGCCGGCGCCAAAGCTGGTGAAACCCGCTTCACAGATACTCGAAAGGATGAACAAGAACGTTGTATTACAATTAAATCCACGTGAGTTTATTTTGCATACTTCCGATTAAGTTTGGTAATTCTTATTCACCTTTTTATAGTTAATATTTTTAATTTTTTTACAGGGCCATCTCTATGTTCTTTGCCCTCGATGAAAAAGATTTAGTTTTTATCACAAATCCCGATCAGCGCGACAAAGATGAAAAGGGTTTCTTGATCAATCTCATTGATTCACCTGGTCACGTAGATTTCTCTAGTGAAGTAACAGCTGCTCTCCGTGTAACTGATGGAGCTCTTGTGGTCGTCGATTGTGTATCTGGTACATATTTTACAACTATTTTCATTAACCCTTTGGTAGCTTATAGACACATATATGCGCCCATAGCAGTCAAAGGGTTAAAACTTCCTTCCAGCATAAAAAGTGTTACTCTGTAGTATATCAGTCGGTTAATCTGGCTAATACACTGTGACAGTGCTGACTGTGCATTAATGGAAGGAGATTAATAGCAGCTGTGTTTAAACGCTGTTTGTGGACCTCTATCTTTATGTCCGTTACTAACATGCTACGATACAGTTGCTACAATTTTACCCTATGTTTTTGTCGTAATTTCAACGCAGTCTTTTCTTTTTAAGGTGTCTGCGTACAAACGGAAACTGTACTTCGTCAAGCTATTGCCGAACGTATCAAACCTGTGTTGTTCATGAACAAAATGGACAGAGCACTGTTAGAACTTCAACTTGCTAGCGAAGATCTCTATCAGACTTTTCAACGTATCGTTGAAAACGTTAACGTTATTATTGCTACGTATTCGGATGACGATGGCCCTATGGGTGAAGTGAGAGTAAGTAGATAATTCTTTCTTTCTTTCTACATAAATGTTCTTGTTACGCTAACTCGGTACTTCTCGTAAATAGGTAGACCCTAGCAAAGGATCCGTAGGTTTTGGTTCCGGTCTTCACGGTTGGGCGTTTACGTTAAAACAATTTTCCGAAATGTACGCCGAAAAATTCAAAATTGATGTTGTGAAACTTATGAACAGATTATGGGGAGAGTCGTTCTTCAACGCTAAAACCAAGAAATGGAGCAAACAGAAGGAAACGGACAACAAACGATCATTTTGCATGTATGTTTTAGATCCAATTTACAAGGTACGTTTTAAATAAATTGTTGTTACATCAATCCACTCTTAACTTATTATAAATAATACCGATATAAATTTCATTTACAGGTATTCGATTGTATTATGAATTACAAAAAAGACGAAGCGGATAACTTGCTAAAAAAATTAGGAATTGTTTTGAAACCAGAAGACAAAGATAAGGATGGTAAAGCACTCCTTAAGGTAAGAAGATATTTCATTTGAACGCGAGAAATCGAACATAACCTTAATATTTCTTAAAAATGTACATGATGAGTGTTAATGTTTTTTTCTGACACCTCTACTGAAATTTATTGATTAATCATTAAAGTAAATTCTGATGCTAAGCGAATTCTAATTGCAACTTAATTAGTCAGTGCATTGTTATACATTATTTTCCTTTTTATGTGTTAGGTTGTCATGAGAACGTGGTTGCCTGCTGGTGAAGCTTTACTTCAGATGATTGCCATCCATTTGCCATCTCCAGTCACTGCTCAAAAATACCGTATGGAAATGTTATATGAAGGTCCACTCGACGATGAAGCTGCCATTGGTATTAAGGTATTTATATCTTCAGTATTTCTGAAGCACGGCACTAATCGAGGCTTATTACGTATGATGATATTATACACAGACCTGTACTGAAATATATGATAGATATTATAACTTTTTACTGACCAGCATTTTGCGTTTAGATTTGATGTGTATATATCGTAATTAGCATGTTTGTATCAATCAACATGTTATTTTACAGAACTGTGATCCAAATGGGCCACTTATGATGTACGTTTCGAAAATGGTACCAACTTCCGATAAAGGTCGTTTCTATGCTTTCGGTCGTGTATTCTCCGGAAAAGTATGCACTGGCATGAAAGCACGTATCATGGGCCCGAACTTCCAACCCGGCAAAAAGGAAGACCTTTATGAAAAAGCTATTCAGCGTACAATTTTGATGATGGGTCGTTATGTTGAGGCGATTGAAGATGTGCCTTCCGGTTAATAATTTTATATTAAATATTTATTTAACTGCAAATTCAACATTAAGAATACTTAGAACAGCTGTAATATGTTCCGATCCTACATAAATAATTAAATGATGAATGTTCTCACAGACCTGTACTGATAGTTCTTGAAAGACAATAGAACGGCCAACTGACACAATTAATATTTACAAACTATTCTTTATAGTTTATAAATATTGTTACTGATTCGTTTATTATTTAATACAGGTAATATTTGCGGACTTGTTGGTGTTGATCAATACTTAGTAAAAACTGGCACTATTACCACGTTTAAGGATGCGCACAACATGAAAGTTATGAAGTTCTCGGTCTCCCCTGTAGTGCGTGTCGCTGTTGAACCTAAAAATCCAGCAGATTTGCCCAAATTGGTCGAAGGTGCGTTAATAAATCTATTTAATCGAATATTATGGTTCGTAAAATTTAATAATTAAGGATGAAACTTCATATAGAGCATTGGGTTATGATAAACCGTGATTTTGATTGAAATCTGAATATTATAATGATTTGAAATAATATTTCGTGTGCGACATATGGATGTTGCTTTATAATACAATGCTTATATACAGGACTTAAACGTTTGGCTAAATCTGATCCTATGGTACAATGTATCATCGAAGAATCTGGAGAGCACATTATTGCTGGCGCTGGTGAACTCCATCTTGAAATCTGTTTGAAAGATTTGGAAGAAGATCATGCTTGTGTGCCCATCAAGAAATCTGATCCCGTTGTTTCTTACAGAGAAACGATTTCGGAACAATCGAATCAAATGTGTCTTTCAAAATCACCCAATAAACACAATCGTTTGTTCATGATGGCATGCCCCATGCCAGATGGTCTTGCTGAAGATATCGACAATGTATATTTCATTTGCTTATGAATATATAAATGTTGTGTTTTTGGTTTTACGCGTCATTTACAAATTTTATAGGGTGACGTTAACCCAAGGGATGATTTCAAAGTGCGTGCTCGTTATTTGAACGAAAAGTACGATTACGATGTAACTGAAGCTAGGAAGATCTGGTGCTTCGGGCCCGATGGAACTGGACCCAACATTCTCGTAGATTGTTCAAAAGGAGTACAATATCTTAATGAAATTAGAGATTCTGTTATAGCTGGATTCCAATGGGCCACGAAAGAGGTACAATATAATCCGAAGAAATGTTTTTGAGGTTATGATGCGTATCTGTGCGCGCGCGCGCGCTTCTATGCGCTGTTACTCTTAATTTTTATCGCGATTGTAGGGTGTACTTTCGGAAGAGAATTTGAGAGGTGTACGTTTCAACATCCACGACGTGACACTACATGCTGATGCTATTCACAGAGGCGGTGGTCAAATTATTCCTACCACAAGACGTTGCCTTTACGCTTGTCTCCTCACTGCGTCTCCCCGATTAATGGAGCCAGTTTACTTATGCGAAATTCAGGTAAACTGAGCTTGGTAATTTAATTTCTGAATACATCGCTTAAATGGCATGATTCTTTTAGTGTCCAGAAATAGCGGTTGGTGGTATCTACGGAGTCCTTAACCGCAGAAGAGGTCATGTATTCGAAGAGCAGCAAGTTGCTGGTACACCCATGTTCGTAGTTAAAGCATACCTTCCAGTAAACGAGTCCTTTGGTTTTACCGCGGACTTGCGTTCCAATACCGGAGGACAAGCTTTCCCACAGTGTGTATTCGATCATTGGCAGATATTGCCGGGTGACCCAACGGAACCTACCTCCAGACCTTACGTAGTTGTGCAGGTAAATGTTCTTTTTTTTTTATAGCATTCGAGAAAATAGCCACGATCATAACTGATGATAATGGATAAATACGAGTACATTATCATTTTTAATCTCGTGGAAGAGGAAATTGTTTTTTGTTTTGGTATTCCAGTGGCATATCCTGGTTTGTCTGAATAGGGAAACGGACAGATACTCTCTTCGATATTCCGTGTATGCATACGTTTAACGACTGCTAATTTGTAATTATTTTTATTTTCACAGGAAACGCGTAAGAGGAAGGGATTGAAAGCAGGTCTCCCAGATTTGAACGCATACCTTGACAAATTGTAACCATAGATTCGCGCGCACCATATTTAAATATCTATTTAAATATTGTAATTCAATTAATATCGCTCGAGCCGTATACAGCCACGTCGGTTTATTATGAACTTTGTTTTGCGCAAAGAACCGTGAGAAATACACGATTATAAATATGGAAAAAGATAATAAATTGTAATTATAACGGAAACTTTGTATGCTAGCGCAGGGGAGGAATATTTTGTACATTTATTTAACTAAGTACGCCACGTTATCGAGACCTAGTGGCTTTACGTTTTTAGCATATCAGAATCAGATAAAGACTCAATTGTTTTTATTGAGGCAACATGTTTGCCCATTTTCGTATATATAAAAGGAAAATAAGAAAAATTGTGATTTTTTACATTGCTTTCTTACTACAATTAGCCTGTTACTTTTTTTGTTAACGTTCTTAAATGATTGGACGAATTCCGAAGTTACTAATAATAAAAAAAAAAAGGATCACAGCAATGTATTCATATTGAAAGAAAATACGTCAGAAAATTAAAGGTGAAATTAAGAAACAGACTGTCTCTTTATTGAAGTGATTTGTTAAAAATACCCAAGGTGCCTACATACATATCGGCAAGCAGAAAATAATTTACCATGTTCGGTATATCAAATTTATTTTTTTATATATATATTTTGATTTCATTATTTTTTTTTTTTTGTTTGTACATATTACAAGATATAATTAAAATGCACTTTTCAATTTATGAATAGTAATTTAGTTAAGAAGTCACATTTATTGAAACTTAAATAAATTCATAAATTTCAATATTGCATCGAAATAGTGTTAGAACTACTGGACTACGAAATGAATCTTGATACATTTTTTTTATGTATATTATAAATTAGTAAAATTGTATTTACAAAAACGCAACGCATTGATAAATTGCGTTGACATATCTTCCATAAGAATTTACACGGGATTAATTGTATTCTTGTAAATTCCAGCCAACGATTGAACCGCTAAAAGTATAAGGTCCCTTCTAGAAACTCCCGTAAGCGCATGGTGCCATTCATTGTGAGAAACCTACAGACATTTTTTTTATTCCTCAAGCTTATCGTAATTGTATATTTTATCGTTTGAAACTAACCTGTAAATTGCTTGCCATTAAGCTACCAACGGTAACCGATAATCCAGACCATTTAAGATTATAATTTTCAGGTGTACCATCCTGCGCCATTATTACTATCTGACTTGGCACTGGCGTCATTTGAGTGAATGTTTGTAAGTTCACATTGTTTTTAGGATCGTTGAGGAGTATCACTCCCAAGTCGTACCATTTATCTTCGCCGACTTCCAGTAAAAAATTTTCCACAGCAATTATAGGTATGTCTTTTGGTAAGGTTGGAATATTTCGTGCGGAATTAATTCTCTCTTCTGCGCCTTTTACTCCGGCGGCAAAACCAACTGGTTGAGCAGCAACGGCCGAACTATCAACGGGCACGCCACTGTAAAAATAACCAAATATTTGTTATTACTTATTGTGTATATATCACTACTTAACACGGTCACGACAGGCCGAATCACCGGCGGTACATTGTACTAGAACAAGTTCAGGCCCGTCGCGAACATGTTAATGCAGCCTTTCTCAAACCTCATCTAGAAACTATATAAATTTGTTCGATAAATTAATACTTTATTTATATTTATGGAGCTTAGGTTTGAGAAACACTGAACTACTGTATATATTATTTCTTACATCACTGTTGCTTTTCCAAAGACTGTTTGAAAAGCCTGACGTACAGGACTTATTTTCACGTCTTTATCCGAAGCAACCACAATCTCTACATCACCGCCAGAATCTGAAATGTACATTTTTAACAGAGTTCGTGTGTACTCTTGCACATTAACTAACATGTTGCAGAGCCACTGTTCACACGCGAACGCTATACAACTTATATTTAATTTCTGAAACATTCATTTCCATAGTAATACGTTTGTGTTTTCAATGCTATAGTTTATAATATATCGTTTTATATCGTTAGACATTTCTTTTATAAAGTTATATATAGGTACAATGTTATGTTTGATTAAAAAATCTACTTTTAATGTTGCTTAAGTCACAAGACTAAATCATCAATCCCTGCACTTCCAATGCAAGCAATGAAACTGACATGTCCTTTGTATCTGTGTATGAACTAGTTTCTTATATGATAAATCTGCATCACCAATACACTTATATAAGAACTCCACAAATTAGATCACTGCATGAATAAAATATGAACTAAACATTTCTTTTTTATCAATAACATTCAATACTTTGTACTGTAAATGACAGTTGAGACGGTGCTCAATAGTGCAGCTCAATGAATGAAGTTTGCCCAACAGTTCATCCAAAAATAACATGGTACATATATATACTCCCCTCAGTTATGATGCAATAACATAAATTACACACACAGTGGCACACATTTGTGAATAACATTTATGAAGCAGAGTATTAGTAAGATAAACATATTTATAAATAGAAAAAAATATATTTTGTCTTGCATTTTTACTTTCATGCATGGATTAGTAACTTTCTTACTTACAAATGAACTCACGCATCTGGGGATCTAACGTTGTGATCATGGTGGTAACACTATTCTTTGCTTTCTCTGCAACTTTGCTTAAAACATTACTGTTCACTACTGTCTCTTTAACCCATGATAGTAAACCACCTCCAACCATTCCCAAATCCTGTATTGGGCTCTCTGTTTGCGCTACGGTTTGTACATTTTGTATGGACGGAGCAGCGGTAATGGCTGGAGCCACTTGATATGTTTCTTGCTGTAAAGGCTTAGATTGAACAATAGTATTTAACATTGATTTATTAGGCTCGTGTTTCTTCTGCACAGGTGGTTCCACATTATGGGAAGGTTTGTCTGACAACAGGGACCCTGAGTTTGAAACAAAGCTAGGCAATGCACTAGGTGGTGCTACATTTGATAATAAATTCCCTGTAGACATTGATGCACCTAATGGCATTAACATAGATGTAGACGAGGATAAGCTGCTAAGAGAATCTGAAAATTATATTGTCTTTATTATTATTTACAACAAATTAACCGCATTGCAACGAAATGTCGATGAGTCATGCTTTTGATCAAAGAATTATTTTCATTCTAGCCATAGAATTAAATTTATCGTATTTAGTGAACTACTTTTTTTTTTTTTAAATCATTATCGATGGTTTGCAATGTGCTTTTTATATTGTAGGATACATTCCCGAATTCGTTTCTTAGTACGCTGTTCGTGTTTAAAAGACGTTGTTTCTTTTCATTCTTGCGTATTTTATAATTAAATTTATTCCCATTACATAAAGAATTGCGAGATATTATACGCAAATTCTCGATTCGTAAGGATATTTGACAGATACGCAGGTGTTTATGTTTCCCTTCAGTCTCACCTGTATACATGATTTCTCCAGATGCGGAGGATTCGTCCGCCTTCCTTTCAACGAATTCGAACGTGGATTCCCCATTGGAATCGTCGGTCATTGCTGGTTAACTTTTCTAAATTTACACGTAAAATGTCCAAAACTGTATTGTGAATTTTCTATATGCAACTGTGCATACACAAGACAATCCTTTTACTATATATAATTTCAAGATTCTAGTGACTAACTTCACGATTAAAGGTATCACTTGAAGATAGAACCTAATCGTGACACGTAGTCTCCCGTTACTTTGAATTGTTTATTATGATTTGCTATTTACATTACATAGCAAGGAATAAATTACGTAATTTAAAAATCAATACGTTTAAGGATAGAGTAGTCGATGTTTGCATCGGCTATAATTTTTGTTTTCTCTGCGATTTCTCTCATTAACGTTCATTTTGCATATATTTTCTAATTATACAGTAAATCGGGATACAGGAAAGATATCGTTATTTAATGTAGAATATATTTATAAACTTAAAAACATTTACATTAAGTAATAGACATCATTCGTACAACTTCAAATACAATATGTAGATATGCAACTCCATCTTTACGTGCGAAAATTCGTGCTGACATACTTAAGGTTATGTTTAAAAGTAATGTCGTATTTCTTCATTTCGAGTAGTTCGCATTTATATAATGAAAGAAGAATACTAAACAGAATAAGGTAGCGCCGAGGATGTTGCAAAAAACAGCCAGTTGCACGTCCGTGATCATCTGAAATGTTAAAGAGTTAACCTACTGTTCCATATTTTTTTATTTAAACGAAATATTTAGAAGTAACTAGAAATAAAGATCATTTGTTACTTAATCTGATTAAGAAGGTATACAATTACCTTGGATAATTACTTTACAGTACACTGTACAGTATACTTAGGGTAAATACTGTCAAATACGTGTCTGACACGTTTCACTATAGCCAAACAACAATCTATCATGAACTATGAACATACTAGACGGCAGAGATGTCAGACGGAGCGGCTCCGCTAGTGGCGACCACTGCTGGCCACTTCTGGACACTGCTAACAATCAGAGATGCCCGTTTGTGCACCGGATGCACTACATACACATGAGGCGCCATCTAGCGCCAAAGAAAGCAAACTATTTCTCGACAAACTTGGACGTTTTATCCTAGAGGGCCAAGAGGTCTGAAAAATGGCGCGAATTTTAAATTATAAAAATTAGTTTTGGCCTAAGTTTATTAAATAGACCGATTTATATAATCTCACGTTAATGTATATTACGCCTAACGGAATATGAAGCTATAGTTATGCATAAATAACAATAGAAATTACGAATACTGGTTAGAGTATCGGAAAACAGAAGATGTGTCTTCTAAAGACAGTAACAGCAACTATTGCTTAATAATTGGCAGCAGGGGAAATGATTGCATTAAACTTGTTTTAATCTAATCAATATATTACACTTTTTTTTATATATATATATATATACAAAAACATATGACTAATCGCATATCCATCGTATGCTTAATCACACATTTACATCGTACTGCAAATCAGTAGTTATTAATTACTATGAAAAGGAAAATATAATACATGTAATAACTTGAAAGCGAATCGGTATAATCGTATGCTCACGATCTTCTGGCAAATTATCGATAAATTACTCTTCGTTGAGGTAACACGAGTATACGCAATCGTTTTATATTATTTTATCGTATAATTATCTTACTGTTGATTAGTTTAGTCAGATTTTATCAGATCGTTCTTTGCAAATATATTTGGTAGCAGCGTACGTTCGTCTGTTCAAACAACGACACGAAATTGTTCGTGATTCTGGCATTGTTTCAACGTTTCGTATCTACGAAGAATGACAATAGATCTTTTCTCATAAAAATATGTCGGCGCCTCCCACATCGACGAATGTTATCTTTTATTTGTACAGAAATTCCATGTCGATCGTTCTTCTCTTCCTCCACACACTGGCATGAATGGAAGACAGTTCCGTAGAACGAATCGCCGTAAGGAATGAAAACTGCCGGAAATCTATTTCGTTATATTACAGATACTTAAAAAAAAAAAGAAGAAATTGATTGTACATCGTTTGCAGTCGCCGACGCAGCCAAACGCGCCGGCATGTATCTCCAGAAGAACCATTTTGAGCTGTATTCGAAAGGTAATCCATAACACGTTATAATAAAGTAACGTTGAAATTGTCAATAAACTATTTCTAGCGGAGACGTACCAATATTTTTCATATTCCGTGGTATTAAGAACAGGAAAGTTACGCAGGAATATTTAAAAATGCACGAGTAGGCGTAGGTAAATAGTATCCATAAAAATAAAGAGTATCCGAGGCATGAAATTCCCCATAGGATTATAACTAGCCTATTTCTTGAAGCTCGAAGCAATTAGGGGATCACATTTTTAGAAATTCACGAGAGCAAACCAAATATAAGGCTACAGACTATTTTTACTGAGTTTTAAAACGTAACCTCTCAAACTCGACTATCAAACGATACCCTTGCAAGCAATTAAATTATATTTTGACAATTCAAGGCCATCGAGGGTTAGATACCACTCTATCGTTTAGTATAAGCTTGCTTGCACTTCGTGTTTCTCGAATACGGAGTCGTGCAACGGTATCGTAAACTGGAGGTGGCCTCGAGCATCCAAAATACAATATGGCGTCGATCTGTGGAATCATTAAGTTCAGAATTCGAATGGTTTTCAACAATTACCAAGAGATTTCTCCTCGCTATTAAGAGTACTCTAGTTTGTTACACTCTGGAATTAATTTGCGTACGGAATATTTGTATTAATGCAGGTTTCACATGCACACACATACACGCGGGGCGTGAACAGAGGGGGATTCGTTTTAAAAAATATCGCAGATGCGTGACAAAAATAATTTTCATTTCACCGGGCACCGTTCCATGAACTTATGCGTATAAAAGTAGTTTCAACGTTTAATTGGCATTGAGTGGTTGGTGGGTCGCGCTACACACTCCCCAGACAATATTTCTGAACTCGCGAAGCGACTTTTACAGCTGCGTGATACAAAAGTTAGAGACCTCGATTAAAAGCGTCTGCGCCATTGTTACCAATCACAGTAATTCCCGCTTTCGAGCGACAATTGTCTACGATCTAACGAAAATTAAAATTCGTATACTTCGAGCTTTCCCCCGTCGAAAATAAGTTCAAACCTGGCTTTACTCGAACTATTTTTAATCGTGACAAATTTCATTCGAGAATAATGTCGTGTTTGAATTCACTTTTATCAGGGAGGTTTCGTCACTTCGTCGACAAAATATAAAATCTTTCATTTTGCGTTCGTGTACATTGGCGTATCCTATTTATTTTCATCGTTGGACGGTACTCGGCTCGGGACAAAAATTACTGCTTACCCTGCGACTTTGTCACCGAGAAACGAGAATTACCGTGTCGCAAAAGAACATAATCGATCACGACGAAAGAGTCATCTAGCCTACGTTTACGTACTACGAACCAAGAACAATGCTCAGCAGAATTCGAATGTTTAAAATTGTTTGGTCCTTACGTTCCGTCTACTGTACAGTTACCTTAAATAAATTACATATCGGACGACCTAAAACGACCCTCGACTTATTAAACAAGACTTAACATTGGAACAACGATTTCTTGTTATTACTTTACACTAAACTATCTACACACTCTGCAGCGACGTCGCAGAGCTCAGGCGCACAGCTCGCGTGACATTAACCAAGTATTTTAACATTAAAATGGACCTTGATCGCACACATTTTTATCGAAAAACTTCCTTCGATTTTAAGGGAAATTATTTACACAGAATATAGACCAATTAATCCTTTGAAATTGAAAGCAATTACTGTAATATGAACACTCGAGAAGAATGTAGAGTAGGAAGAACGAAAGAAGAGGCTTGGGTTGGGGGGAATGTGGAAGCATGAGTAGATTGTGGGCAGCGTGGAGACATTTTTGCTTGATCTCAGGCCATACAAAGTCTGACCAAAGAGTTTTACCCAATATAAACTTGCATTCCTTCCAGGACTCATCTTTCGTTCTCCCTACTATACATTACCATCGACAGAACATCGAAACTGTCTAGCAAATGTAATTTAAAATTATATTTTTAGCAATTAATGTCACGCGAACGGGCGCCATTAACGAGCTGCATCTAAATGCCGATTATCTTGGTGTTTGGAAATTTTATAGGAATCCGAATACGGTTGATCGCCAAAATTCCACCGCGAGCAATCATCTCGTTAGGTCGCGTAGCTTAAATTAATTACAATTAAGTATGATTACGTGACTGATCGTGACTAGACAAAGTGAGGGAGAAACGAACGCGTGAAAACGTTAGAAAATAGGAGGGACAGATTTCGTTTGCTGTGCAGGATCGATCGTTGCAGTTCCTTTTTGGTTTCGCTGCAAGGAATCGATAGTATTACGAGTTTCTGTAAATAATTTCAATTTTGCACAACTTGCTTGGCACGGTTTCGGTGGCGTTCGGAAAACGATTAAATATCAGCCAGGATCAGCGAGGCAAAAATCTGAGACGCGAGGTCCTCTCGCGTCGAGTGCTACGTCGTTACAATAAATACAATCGGTACAACGTATGTTTCAAATGATGTTAAATAGAAATCGAGCTCGTCACATTACGCGCGACTTCGGTAACAATGATTTTTTTTTTATATATCCATAAACGATTAATTAAACCAGTTACATTACTCGGCGCCGTTCGCCTTCTGATATTTCACATTTTGAACTTTTCATTTATATTAAATATGTCAGTGTAGTCTCTGTAATATATTATAAATTTATGTTACGACGTTAATCCTAAGACTCCGTAAAATCTGAGTAACTTCGAGAGACGATTTGAGCCTAGCTTGCAAACTTTGCTTGTACTTGTACAGAACAGTTTAGTTTCATCGTGGATAGAGTCTGTCTAATCGTAAGTTTTTCAACTAAATACTGAAAGAGTTTCATCGAGTAACTTCGAAGCAGTAAATTTTAAAAGCTATCGTTTCTACAAGGAGGCTCTCGACATTACAACGTTCAAGAATACTTATAGTCTCTTAAGCAACGTTTCTCTTTAAAGAGTAATATTTAAATACTTAAACAAACCGTATATCGCGATAATAGGCATATCTCAATGATCCTCGTGAGTCCAAGGATTAATCATCGGGGTAAAGCTATAATTATAGAATTTTTCTCTCTGACGCGATCGCTCTATGATCCCGCTAAAGACACGTCATACTATCACAGTCCAACTCGAAAGTTCGATACCAATAATTCACGATAATTGTTATCTACTTCAGTACGTTCCCCTAAGCAGGTAGACAGAATAATTTCCAGCGGGCTTTGGGCCGTTATAAAAATACAGACGTAGCGCGATCGTGCCACCGTACAACACGGGCGCGTGTAAAAATTCTTCGCAATTCGATTTACAAAGTAGTGATTCTTAAAATGAACATCGATCCCAAAAGTTATCACCTTCACTTTTCGTGGAGTGGAGACAAATTCAACATCAGATGCCAGTCGAGGAATACTTGCGAGAAAGCGACATTTCCCACATCCGCCACCAGAGGGGTACGCGCTCTCGCAAGTACTCGATCGACTCGACCATTCAACGCCTCCGATCTCACTTCCTCAACATAGCAAACCTCTATAGCGAATACCACTCGTTGAGATCCAGCGTTTTCCACTGTTCATTCTAAAAATCACCACTCTACTCCCATAAACAAAAGCTATCTCTCGAGCTCGTGGAAGAGATCTATACCCTAACGCCAACGCCGCTGTCGCCCTTGATCTCCGAAACGAACTCGAACGTGGGGGTGCAAATGTCCGTGGGCGTCGGGGTGGCGAGAGGCGCCAGGCGTTGGTTCCTCTTACCGGACGAGTTCTTCAGGATATAATCCGTGCCGGGCCTGACTCTCAGCCTGCCACGATGCAGGGACGGTTCCAGCCGCAGGATCGTGCAGGACCTCGTCGACAGGCACCTGTTCCTGAACACCGAGTCCGTGGACTTGCTCTGAAAGTCCGCCTCGTTCATCGATCTCTTTCGACTGATCGTAGACGCGAAGTTGCACGGGGACAACTCCCGTTCCGATTCGGAGGTCAGGTTCGACTCGTCGTTCTCCTCGAACGACGTGAAGATCTCCGAGTCGGGCACGGACGGCGCGCTGAAGAAGGACTCGCGCAACGACGACGTCAACGCGTCCGGACAAACGAAGGGATCCAGAGACGTCAGGTCGTTCAGGTCGCTGCCGCTGTTGCACACTTGGAAATTGTTCACCGAGTACGACGAGGGGAACGTCTGATGCTCACCCACGTTGGACAGGATCTCCTGGCTCCTCGAGGACTCCGACCATTTCGAGTCCGACGGCCTCCGCGAGCTGAATCTCGTGGAGTCATGTTCAGCGAAGATTGGCTCCGGCAGTCTGCCCTCCCTGAACCTCTCGGAGTTCTTGATCAGAGCCTCGAACAGATCTATGGGCTCCATCGACGGCCCCAGGCTCGACGACGGTAGATTGCTCGACGAACCGTCTTGACTGGATTTCTCCGTGTTCCCGGGATCCTCGCTGAAGTCCTCGATGTTCAGCAAGACGGATGGTATCACAGGGTCCGAGTGTCTGTCGGGACTTCTCCTGTTGTTCAGCGGAGACTTTGGGTAGTTGGTATTTTCGAAAAGCTTCAGAGGCTCGGAATTTTTCGTGTTTTCCTCCTCGAGGGACGCCAGAGGCAGAGGTTCTATGGGACTCGGGGGCTCCGAGTGTATCGTCGGGACAGTCAGAGTCTCCATGACTCTGTAAGGCTCTAGCAGCCTCGCGTGAGTCATAGGTTCTATGGTGTTGATCGACTCGGAATGTTTCAGTATCTCGATGTTCCTTCTGGCCTGCAGCAGCCTGGACGCTGTGTCTAGTCTGGGCTCCATGTTCCTCGATGTCACATTATCCAATCGAACGAGGTTGGCCAACTGGTTTGGAGTGATCATCATGTGTTTGGGGGACGTTTTCTGGCTGCTGAGCAGACTGGACCTCGCGCTGTCCGGCGTGGAGGGCGACGTGTAACTATTTCGAAGCCTCAGATTCAGGGTGGGACTCGTTTTATCGAGGTTGTTGATCTTCACTCGCGGCCGCGGATAGAGATGAAACCGTCTCTGGTTCTCCAGCTGCCTGGACAGCATCACGTGCTTGGCCAGACCGCCGTCGTATCTGTTGTGATCCAAGTTCTGCACCGAGTATCGGTGAGTCTCGATCACGTTCCCGCTCACGGGTAGCCGGAGATTCACTTCGGAGCGACCGGTCGCCGCTTTGATGTTCGGATCCGACATGGAGCAGAGGTTCGAGTTCCTCCTCTTCGCGTGGACGGAACTCAGAGCGTCGTTGAAGTCCTTGGTGTGGACCGCGGGACTGTCGGCGCTCAGAACAGGATCGGACATGGTGTTCATTTGCAGAGCCTTTCGATTCAACGTCACGTCGCTCTTCAGGTTCTGGTACGAGGTGAACTTCGGCTCCGACGCCTTGGAGAAGTTCTTGCTGGTGAGCCTCTTGTGATTCAGCCGTCTGAGGTGCCGGATCTTGTTGAACGTAGGGTCCAGCAGATACTTGAGGTTCTTGATCTTGTCGATGTTGTGGTTCGAGTCGATCATGTGGTTCCTGTCGATTATGTATTTCAAATCCAGCATCTTCGTCAAGTCGTGGATGTCCTCGTCAACGATGTCGGACTGCTTGCTCTCGGAGGACGCTCGATCGACGTTCTTCTCCGGGGAGATGTCCGTGTGCCTTCCGGACGCGTTCAGGCACCGTTTGCTGGCGTAGAGCGTGCTGTTCTGCTTCGCCGCGAAACAATCCTCCACGGGATGCCTCCTGCCGTCGTTGCTGTTGTTTACCTCCGCTAATTCCAAGTTCGTGTTCGAGCCACGTCTCATCGGCGAGCAACCGTATCGACTGGGCGTCACACCGAACAACGCGACCAGCTTCTCCGTGATTTTTCCCGCGGCTACCCTCATCTCGCCGTGATGGAACGCGTAGATCCACGGATTTACGCCGCTGTGCGCCATTATGGGCAGACCCAACCACACCACGGTCCATTCGGACAATATCGTGGTCCCACAGAAGATGTCCAGCAGCATACACGTCTGGAAAACAGAGTTTTGGGTCGTTGACAAGGATATAGATGATTTATTTAACAGGGTAAATTCAATTTTTAGCATATCTGTGGCGTCACCTCCTTAGGAAGCCTTATTGACGAGTTCAACGAAGGGGTCAGTCGAGTGCTTGCGAGAGAATCAAGAGCGTAGCCCTCTGGCGGCGAGTATCGATGGATAGAAACTACTGAATTTAACCGAAATTTTGAGCAATTAACAAAGTTTAAAAATGGCGATCGAAGTTATGAAGTGACCACGTTTGTATTTGCACAGCTTCAGCAAGGATTCGGGATTAAATTTGCAGGAAGAAGGGGGAGTCAACGTGATCGAATGCGTTGCAGAGAGGGTCAAGGTCGAGTGCACGAGCTCAGAAACTTGTCTTTATCTATCCAAATATCCGTCTTTGGTTCATCCACGTGGGCGGCTTTAATGTTCCTACAGCATGAACAGTATGATCGAACTACGTCGTTACGTCTGTGTGTGTGTGTAATATACGAGCGAAAATGCGAGCTATTCGTCTCGACCTCCATTAAGGAAAGTTGGTGGGACGGGCACCGAGCCGAAATCAACGTATACTTGGCGTTCGGTTGTTTTCACCCCCGCAGAAAATATGAAAAGAGTCGCGCAGAGCGGCGAACAAAGCCGCGTCGCTTCTTCCAGTTCCAAAAATATGCATTCAAACTTGAAACACACGAGGTGTTCGTAAACTTCCTGCATTTTTATCAATATTCTATGTTAGACAGACACCATATTTCCTGTGAATCTTTTCGTCTTGGTTACTGCCCCCTCAGATTTCTTTGCACGTGGCTTCATCGTGAAAGTTCTTAAGTATTGGGGGATATGATTTTTTAAGAACTGTTACAGAAAAATTATCGACACTATCGACGAACTGACAGATAGGAACTTTACGGGCATTCCACGCAAACGGAAAGTTAATTCTTTCGTTGTGATACTGATAAACGAACATGGCAATTTAAAGTTTCGCGATATAAATGTTAAGCAGAACATGAATTTCATCGACAAAGTTGGAACGTACCGGTCCAGAAAACTTCGCGACACTCGCGCGATCGCGATTTGCAAATTTCACGACGGACGAAGTTTCCGCGAGTCTCGCGAAATTAAGACTCGTGGACATTAGTTCGTGTTTCGTTAATTTGTATCGCGGTACAAGGGATTCGTTCGTGATCGTCGTTTCTCTTGCGACACGGGGGCTGTGTAAGGGAAAAATAAAAAGGGCCACGCTTTGGCTGCAAGTTCACCGAAGCTCTGTTTCTCTCTTCGCGGTTAGCCGACGCTCGTTTCCGCCAACTTTCTCGCTGGCGCAATTTCGAAAGTTACGGGTCGTTTTTCACCCTTCAGTCGCGCGAAACTTTTGCTCGAAAGGGGGATGGAGACAGACGCGTCGCGAAAATCTCATTACCACGCTCGCCCTGTCGATTCTCGCAATACCAATCGATCACCAGCCCCGTCTCGGTACAGGTGAGGCGTCGGTTGAATTTTTATTTCTACCGGGGATGAAATCAACGGCGAGAACTTGCCGCTTTAAAAATTAAATTATCAGCTTCCGCTGGAACGTTTCCCGTTGTCCATGCTCGTCGAGCGTGTCGCGCGTCAACATTCCCGTTCGAGCCAAATGCATTTTTAAACGCGATAATACGGCGATCTCTTTCGCGATTTAACGTGCAATCGTTTATTCAACGTTATGTTTATAAATTCAAGGTAGCAGATGGGAGCTTGCTCTGTGCGTTATAAAAATATTGATAATTTTATCCGTGACAAAATACACACGTATTTAGAAAAATTCATGATTTAAATATAGATTGAAAACTGATTGTTGCATGCAACAGAGACTATTTTTATGAATAATATTACACGGATTAAAATATATATTACTCCATTAACTGCTCCTGTAAAACTCACTCTGGGATCACCTGCTAAAAAAAAAAAAATGTATAACAAACTCTGGATTTCAAACTGCGCGAATTACAGTTCTAATTGTAGAATTATAGTTTTAACTTCGATAATGACGCGAAAGTCTCGAAATATCGGTCTCTCTGCAACTCGGTTTAATAATAAACGAAACGTACGACGAAAAGCCAAGCAAATGCAAGATATGTATTCGTAAACAGCACGGAAAGAACTTTCGAGCGATGTATTAATACGTGTTACTTCATTTTGACGAATGGTTCAAAAATAATCGAGCAGCAAACTGCAGCGAACGTGCAACATTTTTCGAGTACATTTACATAGAAAGAAAGTGTATTTATACGATCAATCTATCACCGAAATGCTATATCTATGGTTGGAAAATGAATCGAAAGAAATCGTAAAAAATGTAGCTATAGCAGAGCAGAATGTATTGCACCGTTCGCCAAGAATAGGACCGCGCGCAATGGCGTCGAATAAAATGCTCCGGATGTGTTTGCCGAAGGTAATATTGTTTCGGGATACGTATATTTGGGCGTAACGATAAACTGGAAATGAAACCACTGCGTAGTACGGTATCGTATAACGTGGTGAACAAATTTCTGGAATCCTCGTACAACGGGGTGAATTACTCTCGTATAACGCGGTGGAAGCAATTCCAAGTTGCAGGAATACAGAGGCATTCCCAGTTGTGTACATACTTCGATCCTGATATGTGCGTGTTTACGTCGTTGCCTTGCGGCATTTCCCCTCGATTCGGTTGTTTTTTTTAAATTGCTATATCGAACAATCAACGAGACCATTCAACCAACAGACAGCAACAGAATGGTACTTCGTTCGTGACGTTAAAATTTTGATTCGTTCTACAACTCGAACTGCAATTTTTATTTAGGAACTGACAGAGCGGCTGTTATTTATTTATTTGTTTAATACACGTCTAGGTTTTCAATTTACTTTCTTTAGTAAACTTGAATGGACGAATCTTCATGCAAATTCATATTTTTATTAATAGAATCAATGAAATGGGAGCTTTGCAGAGAGGTTGTTTCAAACCCAAAATATAATAACTCGTATCTTCAAGTATTCCTTTTTTTTTCGAGAATTAAAATTTCTATAAAAATTATACAATATTCTATAAAAATGTTTATATTATATGATTACCCTTCGTCTGTATTTAATATTTCGCGTTTCCAATGCACAGGCAAGGAAATATACTACGCGAGTCGGTTCGACGCGTGTTAGCGGCGAAGTAGAATTGATGCGTCGCGAGTCAGACGGACAAGTAGTACGAGAGTAATAACAGTCGGACGGGACGGAACGCGGGCGGCAACAGCGAGAGGAATTAATTCCCGTAAGAATTTACACGCTGCTAGTGCCGCGATGTAAATGGAGATTTATGGGACGCGTGTGTGCAGGCGTGTTCCACTCACTTGAAAGGGAAGCCAGAGGATGAGGAAAGCTCCGACCGTGACTGCCAGTGTTTGACCGTAACGCGGCAGCGCCAGGGTCTGCGTTTGATGCCTGAACGACAGCTCCACCGTATAAATCGCACGTGCGTGTGCACGAGCCACCAGGTACACGTACATGTAGCAACCGAGGAGCACGAGGGCGCTGGGTGCCCATACGGCACCTACCAGGAACACCCTCACCGGGGGAAGCACCGCTGCACCGAACCTGCAGTTCCCACTGCAATAGAAATTCAATTAACGTCACCTGTGTTTCACTTAAGGATCGTGCAAGATCAGTTGAAAAGTGAGGGGAAATTGTAGAGAATTTTACGATAATTAATTGTACGTTTACTAATGGCGTCAGATTGCCCCAGTATGCGTGTACATATATTGGCTGAGTTAATGCTTTAATCGTAACGGACAGTGATCGTGCTTGTTGGCGGAACGCAGACCACGTGTCAAGGTCGCGATATTGCATCGTGTCGGTCGAACAACTAAACCTGTAACTTTTATTAGGAAAGCTTCCCCCACATTTAATGCCAGATGCTACCCCTAATATCCAATAAGGCCGATATTGCTCGTGATCGCGGAAATGCCCATAGAGCTGTATCTAACGTTTCACCAATTCTCTGTGTTCCTCCCACGTGTTTTGCATAGTGATTCGATTACGGCGTTGCGACGGAAGAGTCAATTGTTAGGGCAAACAAAGTTCGAGACGATAATGGGAGAGCGATAAATTGAGATTAATCGGCCCCGCTGTTATCGAATGGAATTTCTACTTTGCGTCTCGCTTTGTTTCCCGGCTTACGCAGTTACGAGTTTACGAGAGGCAAACAGTGGGGAAACTCGATGAAAGACGGGGGCGTTCGCGTTACCCCGTTAACCCCGTATCCTTAGCAGCGTTGAAACGTTTTTTAAAAACGAGAAGAAACTTATAACGTTCGCGCGTTTCCCGTCGGATGTTTGTTCCATTCTTTCTCGCGCGCGTGTTCGACAAACACGAGGAAACGGAACGCCGACAGCTGCATTCTTAATGAAAACGTGCGATTGCAAAACTACGTACAACATTTACGAGTTTTCGTTCTTCCGTTCGTTTCGTTCCTGTTTGAGGAACGTGACTAGTGGCTAATTTGATTTCAACAATTTTCGGCATGTTTGCCAAGCAGATCGTCGCGCAACGTCAAACTTTCCTCAAACCGTGTCTTTAGTTGCGATTATCAAGTAATTTAAGTTACTCGACTGTTCGATAATCAAACGCGACACAATTCGATGAGAAAATGTTAATTTAAAATAGGAGATTTCCTTTCTCAACATAGATTGTGCACCGTGATAACGTCGATGCGTGTCAGGGGTCCACGAAACCACGTTTGTGGTTTGCAATTTCATACGAATCGTCCCCCATCGTTTAAATAATAATCAGACATTAGGGTTAATCCATTCCACGATAAGTGAAACGATAATGTTTCGGCAAAACGATCGCAAAGCGGTTCAACGAATATTTTATTACTGTCACGCACGAGACCACTGTCTGGAGACCAAACGACCTCTGTTATATTTTTGCCTGACCCAGACCTAGTCTAGACCTTGCGTAAGAGCGTTAATATTTCCAGGACTTCTATTTATAGTGTACAACTATGGTATACGACGTCTGAAAATTGTTGACTTTAAAGTCGCGTTATGGTCGCCTACGAAAATATCAAAGATTCGCGGAGATAAATTAGCCAAATGAATTCCTAAATGTTAAGGCTCACCTGTGGGGTTGGGGCTCGCTGATCGCCTTGGCGTAGATCAGGGGCGAGAGGCCCACGGCGATTGCGTAGATCCAGAACACGGCGATGTATTTCTCGATACTGCTGTGAGTGATGATGTTCTTGTACCTAAGGGGTTGCGCCAGCGAGGTCAGACGGTCGACGGCGATTGCCACGGTCACCAGGACGCTCACGCTGCACAGCGCGATCACGATGCAATAAGGGATGATGCACAACGTCGTGACGCCATTTTCTGGGAGCCCGGAGAGCTCCAGCTGCATTCCAAAGGGCATGAATACTCCGATCTGCGCGACAGTAATATCGAATTTCAGTCTACGCTACTTTCGAAGTCAATCTAAGACTTTGGCGGCCATTATGGTCCCCCCAGTTTGCAACCACGCGACGAAAACGAATAAAATACAGTATAAACTACTATCTCCAGCTGATTTCGACTTGGACGTACAGTTTATAGATCGTAATGTTTCTAAATGCTCTTAAATTTTGTTTAAATTTTGCATAGAGCCGGTTCAACAATTTTTAGTCGCAACCTCGTGAGCGAAAACAGCCGGATGCGCCGACCTTGTCCTCCCCCGCTCGCGAGCTTCCGCGATAAACAATGAAAGCGCAAGGAAATGCATCGGCGGAAATGAAAGGTATCGCGATAACGCAGCGTTCGAAACTTCGCCTCCGTGTTGCGTTTTATAAACGTCGTCGAGCACGAACGAGATACGGAGCGCCGTAAATGTCGCGTAATTTTAAAAACAGATCTACACGGGAGCTCTGCTCGTAAAGCCATTAACCCGTCGTAATCGGATATTTTGAAGCACATTCGATGGTATTGGGGCGAATTGTATCCGGAGATCTGTGGGAGGTTCGAATCGATTAGCTGACTAATTAAAGTACTCGATCTTGAGGGACAATGGGGCTCTCCAGTGTCAGTGCCTCCTTCGAATTTGACGTAGCTGACAGCGCGCTATCGGATTTAAATTCGAGTGATTTTTATCGATTCGAACCCTCGTCCTTTTGTTTATTTATCTTTATCGCTGACGTAACCTTGCGTTTCGAGAGAAAAATTGTGATTGTAATGATATGGATAAATCAGTGAAAAGGAACACGTAATGGAGGGAACCGGAGGAACCCAAAATGGCGGAGGCGGAAGTGGCCCCGCCCGGAGGCCTCTGAAGAAGATTTTATAGTTTACGTCGTTTATGGGGTTTGTGTTTCCCAATTTTAATAGTACGTGATCGTTATCGAAGCATAGTGGTTGCGAGTTTGTAACGTGGAATACGGCTTACCCCGAAGTCGCTGACGGCTAAAGAGACCAGCAAGTAATTGGACGCAGTACGCAGCCTCTTGTATCTATAGAACGCCGCCAGGATAATGGAGTTTCCAGTGACGGTAATTGGTGATAAAATGCAGACTATTGACACCGCCAAAACCACCGAAATTGGATTGACGTCGAGCCGCGTATCGATCTTGGTAACCGTCGGTAGAAGAGCGGTCGTCAATTCACCGGAAACGGTGGACGGCAGCGGGTCGGTAGCGGGCGTTGACATTGTAATTTGCAAGCTTCAAAGCCGGTCGTTTCTCCACGGCTCTGCGTTTTCAAGTAAGATTCCGCTCGTAAACGCGTCCTTCGCGGGACGACATGGCGCATCCGGCCAAACGCGATAGAAATTTCGCTCGATTGGAATTTCAGTCCCCGTATTTTCGGCTCAACGCGCCATCTTCCGCCCCCTCCGCGTCCAAATGTCCTGAAAAATTACATCAATCCTCAGCGACACCGTCACAAATCAACATTGCCATTTTACAATCATACAACCATAAACGCAACACGTAACTCCGATAATAGGGATTGTTTCTCCCTTAGGGGGGCTGGATAATCAAAAGGCAATTTTAAGAATTATTTCACGCAAGGCACGATCGCTATTTAAATTGTACGTCGACAATATTGCAATTTTAGAATCATACAGGCACAAACTCATCCCATAGCTACGATATTAGCGGTTGTTTCTCCCTTGGGGAGGTTGGATAATCAAGAGAGAATTCTAAGAATTATTTCACGCTTCGTTAAATTATTGTTCTACGCAAGGTACGATCACTATTTATATTATACCTTGACAATATTGCAATTTTAGAATCATAGAGGCACAAACGTAATACGTAGCTTCGATATTAGCGGTTGTTTCACCCTTGGGGAGGTTGGATAATCGAAAGAGAATTCTAAGAACTATTTCACGCTTCGTTAAATTATTGTTCTAGGCAAGTTACGATCACTATTTAAACTATACCTCGACAGCTGGATAATCAAATAAATAATGGTTTTATATACGATATTATCACTATTCTAATTCCAAATTTTTTTTAGCGAACGATATTCGAGAACTGATATAAATCTGTGAATGAAAGTAATGGAATATATGATGAAGAATAGGAACAGCGACTATTTTTATTCTTCAAGTCAGTAATTGGGGCAACATTGATGTCTCGTCTCAATTTTCATGAATCCACGACGCTCATTTTATCCGCCATGTATTCTATACGTGCCTCGTTACAGAGAAAATAAACTCAGCCTTTTTTATTAAGAGACGATGCGGTATAATCATCCTGATACGATTCGCGATAACTTTGTTGCGTAAAATAAATGCAGAATAAACCTGCACGGTAACGAAAGGACGCTGATTACGTCGGGTAAACTTTATCGAAAATATTCCGAGGGTTAGTTAAAAATGATGGAAGAAGGTTGCAAAATGAAAGATAAAGAAGGCTGGAGGAAGAGTAGAAAAGTCAGTCAGCAAAGACAGAGGGGATGATATTGGAAAAAGCTGAGCGGCGAAAGTCGGAAGTACGAAAAGTCAAGAAAGTGTTATTCCGATGCTCGGAGAGTTTAAACTGTGATGTCGGAATGCGCTTTTGAGAATCCTCTGAAAGCGAGCGAACGAAAAAGACGGAGAACGGCGCAAAGGAATCCCCAGCAGCTGGAAATACGCAACCGCGGAGAAAGAAATATTAACGAACGCGTTATTTTCATTACACGAAGGGAAACTTTTTCCCTGGGAAAATCCCGAACCGCCCAGGAGAGCTGGGAACGACGATCTTTTCGATGCAAAAGCCTGGCGGCGACCCACAAAGCACGACAAGTTGGTTTATACGCGGAATATCGTGGAATCGATCAACAAAGAACAAACATCGAAACGTCTTTTTTGTTCAAAGTTTTTACAGGAGTCAATTAATCCAAAGATCTTCTCAAGAATATCTGATTCTATCCTCCGCGTTGAAATCTTCGAGGCTTTATAGTTCGACAATTGAATTGTTATTGCGTGGGAAGTCCTCGAAATTTCAATTCTGAAGCTTGAACAGAGTTTTCGAAGTTCGCGTATAAAACTCGAGTCCTCCAAGTTTCCAAGCTCGCTTCCAGAGGCTAAATCTTCGGAATTCGCGCCGTATAAAGCTTTTAAAGAGTCTTTCTAGCATTCTGACGTTTATTATTTCAACTTTCAAATTTGATTCGATTCAATAATAAGAACTGAACTTGGCAGGTTGTTTTTACTTTCGACGACTGCTCGAAGCTATTAATAAATAAATTCAGCGTAAAGTGCCTCGGCTTTTAAAGGTTTCTAAGCATTTACGGGCTCGAACTGCGAGAGCTCGACCCTCGAAGACCGTCTCGATCGCATTAATTCAACTGGTCGACGGATAAGGGTGCTTTCACTAACCTTTCGCGCTTCCGTGCGAATCGTCCAGCGCCATAGTAGACATTGACGTTCGTCTCTAATGTCCCCCCCGGCTGTTTGAAATCCGGATTCAAGGCCGGGTGTGATAAATCCCTCCTGATATCACCATCGATTTAAGACAACGTCGCAGCATCCGGACGGAACCAGGAAATTACACGGTCTCGGTAACGATTCCACCCTTGACCCTGTTTTCTTCTATCAACGTTTCCGCTCGCGGATTTATGCGTCCTCACCTTTGCCTCGAACTTTCTGAAACAAACATCCGCATTCTGTTGCGATTACCCCCACGGTTACGAAACGGTTTTTAATGGCCGAGCAGGTTGTTCTCTCGATAAATCAAACGAGCACGCGATTACGCGCAACAGCTGTGCATACACAGTGTCTGGCGAACTCGTGGAACGCATCAAGTGTCCCGATGTGTTCGTAGATACTGTAATTACAACCCCCTAACCGTTATAATTTCTAGCGTTCTAAATTACATTCCCCCAATTATAATCGAATTTTGTTGATAAACGATGAACGGACCACTCTGTGAAGTATCATTTTTAAATTACGTCTGTGGTCAGAAATCATCCCCCGAAATAGTTAAATTAAATTTAGACAGAGGCCTCGTGAAAGTCTGTACAGTCGTTCTCGAGGAACCCTCGTCGTTCTAAAAACCCAGTTTCGAGAAAAACGCGTTCAAAGTTTTGCACTTAGTCAGCAGCGTGGATACTGTATTCTTTAAATCTGCATAACTCCAGCAATTTTGGAACTCTTTAAGAGCAGAACATTTGAAAAGATCTGTGAGTTTCTCTCAAGAAAAGTGCAACGGTGAATAATTTCAGATTTTAATACAAAGTCGTACGGTGTATTTGCTTCACCTAAACATTCTTTAACGTCGAAACTGTGCGTATCTGCGAGCATAGTAACTCGAAAACTTGAGAAGATAGAAAACAGGAAACGCTCCAGACCTCTGTTAACGATTCGAGGACTCTCGTCAAGCATAGTTCCCGCCAGGACGTTTGGGTCTTAAACGCGGTTCCTCCCCGCCGTGTAAATTGAACCAGCCGTAACAGAGTCCGGGTCCACCGTCGAAGAAACACAGTTCCGGTGTAAAGGAAGGGGTTCGCTGGTTTATATTCACCCGCACGTCTTCCATTATCTCGAATTTGCAATTCGGATGCGGCCGACGTTAAAGCTTCCAGAGACAAATGACCGCTGGCAGGGTTAACCGCTCCCAGCGTCGAGAGCGTTTTCGAGCTTATCAGAATCAACGTACGAACGGCCACGCTCGGTTCTTCTCCTCTTTTCCCCGGGCTAACGCTTAATTAATTCGCGCGGATGCACATTTCGACGCGGCGCTGTTTTCTCGCGAGTCCATTACCCGTTTCGCCGCGTTGTAATTAAGGCCGGGCTACGGCGCGTTCTTCGCCAGGTTTCACGCGATTCCGCCAAAACGGCACGTTCGTCGAACTTTGCTGATTTTGCATGGAACAACATCTAATCACGTATGGATAAATCCTTCTAATGTAGCGCTAACCACCCTCGAAATCTGCTACAAGCTCTATAAATGGCGAACGAAACGTGACTGTTCTGGATGTGTAAGGCTAGAATTCAATAATAATGAAATCCCAAAATCTCTGAAACAGTCGGAGCTAAAAAATGTCAGGAGAAAAGTAAAGCAATTTTAAAATTAATCTTCCTGGTTTAATTTAAGTGATAATATTTGCAATAGAATCCACGTTTAACTGCTTTCGAAATCCGTTTCTGTGGCCTTTCGATGGTGATTTCGCTCGCGTGCTCCTGAAACGCCGAATTCGTTTTCCGTTCGTCGTTCTTATTTAGCGTAATCCTTTTGGTCTGTCCATGATTAAAGCTTTACAGCCAAGATCATTAACAGTACATTTTGTATCCGACTCAATTTCAGTTCCCCCCGTTCCCCGCGTTAAACTTAATGGATCTCCCGCTTTGATCTACGCCCGAGACATTAAAATCACCACTTTCGAGCCTCTTAATGTCCAACGGATTTCCATAAACTACGTTTATTCCATCAGCAATCTGCTCGTCTTTCGCACTTTTGCGACACTCGTAAAACGTTGCATTTCCAATGTACACCGCATCCATTATATGTTCGGTTTAACGGTCCATAACTTCTTTACCTTCGCGAATTAATCAATCTCCAGCCACAGACGAGGTATTCGAGTAGACCTTACATCCAATGTATTTTTTCGGCCCATTTTAATTGGACATAGAGCCTCACTACCATTTTCACACATTATAGTTTCATTAAAGAATTTTTTTCTCGAAAATGGATAGGATTTCGGGGGTATGTGTATTCACCGAAAATTATTGTAATTAACTCCCACAAACGGAAATAATTTTTCCAGAACAATTTGAAATTTTTTAATTTTCTCGAAAAATTTCACACCTCGAATTTTTTTCTCGAAAATGGGTAGGATTTTGGGGGTATGTCTACCGACCAAAAATGATTATAATTGGTCCCTGCAACAGGAAATAATTTTTTTAGAACGATTTGAAATTTTTTTTTCCCCCCGAAAAACTTCACTCCTACTCGAATTTTTTTCTCGAAAGTGGATAGGATTTCGAGGGTATGTCTATTCACCAAAAATGATTATAATCGACCTCCGCAACTAAAAATATTTTTTCCAGCACGATTTGAAATTTTTTAATTTTGTCGAAAATATGGTCCACCTACTCGAATTTTTTTCTCGAAACTGGATAGGATTTCGAGGGTATGTCTATTCACCAAAAATGATTGTAATCGACCTCCGCAACTAAAAATATTTTTTCCAGAATGATTAGAAATCTTTTAATTTTGCCGAAAAAT